CGGAGACAAAGGAAGAGGGGGGAGAAGGGGGTCGTTTTTAAAAAAAATAATAAATTAATTTATTATTAAAATTTATTAAAAATTAGTTTAAAATGCAAACAAAACTGCCACGTAAGCAGGTAACCTGCTATCATGTGAAATTGCATATATTTGGAGTGTTCAGCAACCTAATTACAATTTTTTTTCATTCAGTGGCCTAATTACATTTTCAGGTTATGTGCCAATTTGAACCTTATTCCCAATTATTTGGTTGCATGGCATGATTATTGACATACGCATTTTCCCCTATATTTCTAAAGAACTAGCGGTACTACCTTGGGTGGAAACAGATGAATGATTGGACAACTCGCGATTTACCTCATTCAGCACTCTTGCGTAAAAGTTTTGGGAACTTAGAATTAATATATATAAGTTGGGGAAACCTAATCTTGTCAAGATCAGATCCTATATATCGAGATTATATTAACATTCAAAACAATGCAAGCTGGCGTTGTGGTTTAAATTTTAAGGTTTTAATGCTTGACTGTATCGAAATGGGTAATAAAATTATGAGCAGATCGGAGAAAATAATGAACCACACTGTCGTCGTCTATTGCCAAACACCTTGTCGGAAAAGAAAAGCCAAATATGGGATACGATTAGTCAAATTTAGGTGTTTCAAATATAGACATCTTTGAATTTCTCATTCTTATCTCAATATAATAATTGTATAAACAAAGAAAACAACAACGGGAAAAACGAATTATGGATGGAAAATTATTGGCATTATATTTGTGTATTTTCTAGAAAGTCTTATAGGATTGTGCATGTATAAAAATTCCATTTTGCAAATTCAACTAAAGATAATGTGGAATTTGATTAAAATTTAAAATAATATTGTAACAATATGAATATTGTGATAATTTTAATTTTAAATTGGGGACGATTAATTTTATTTACATGTATCGGCATTGGATGAAGCATATTGACAAGAAAGCTAATATTGTAAAGTATGGATTAAATTGTAACTCGTCATGATCACAAATCACATATAGCATGTCGTATTTATTGCTAATACACCTTTAACATAAATTCAGATAAAAACATTATGCATTTAACCACATTAGTTCTTTGGCGAGAAACATCAAATCCGATTGTATAGTAAAATGGCTTATATGGATTATGTGTATATATTATTTGTACTAATATCATAGAAAGTCCATTATAGTTTTTTTTTTTTTTTTTTTTTTTTTTTTTTTTTTTTTTTTTAATGATGAGAAAAACCTGAAATCACTATTCAAAAAGTATGTACTGAGTAAACTCAAATTTTTGTTTCTTTTGATTTTAGGTTTTTGATATCTCTTTGTCTTATTGAATGGCATGAAATACAAAAGTGATAAGTTGTCAATCAAAGGGGTTGAAAACAACAATATTCAAACAAAACTAATTTAAATGAGAAAAAAAAATGGAATCTTATCAACTTAATCATGTTAAGTTAGTATAAACTTGTGGCTGATGGCTTCAAATTTTACTTGCAAAAGCCAAACTTGATTGCGATTGAATATTGGAATAGCTGTCGACTCTTGACAATTGGGAGATTTTTTTAATTTTTTTTGGTTTCCTCTTTGTCTATTATTATTATTATTATTTGTTGATTGTTGATATTATCATATTTGAGTAGACCCAAGGCGTAACTGCTATTTTCATGGGAGCCCAACTCTCTAGTGGGCCATCAATGAAGAAGACGATAAGAGGGAATAGGTTAATTACAAGTCTCAAGGTTTTAAGAGTCCATTCACCAACTACAACGATAAGAGTGGCTAAACTTGTCCGTACGAGTTTAGCTCAATAGTTTAATAGACAGTAATTAGGAGAAGAGATTGAGGTTCCTAACCTTTAAGAATTTGTTCATGAAAAAGAAATTATCAAGAAGATTAATTTTATTGTTTTGTTGGTAGATTTGAAAAGAAATTATTGAAATATTGATTCCATTGTTTGGTTAGATTAGAATGGTAAGGAATAATGAGTGTAAATACCATAACGTCTTTATACAATGATAATGATAATAAGAGTAGCCCGCATGGGTAACTCAACTGGTCATAGAGGTGAAACTTTGGAAGAATGATCAGGGATCGAGTCTCACCAGTGGCAGTGAGGGGATTCCTTGTGCGTAGTGAGCACTGGAGTGTGGGGGAGGACCCTTAGGGTTGGGGTTCTTCCTTTGGAAGAATGATAATAAAAGTAATACAGAGTTTTAAATTTTTAATTAAAATATAATTATTTATAAAATACAATATCATAAATTAAAATATTATATTTATATATTTTATTATAATAATATAATAATAAAAATTATTATACACATTTTAGTCTAAGGTAATTAAGAATGTTCTACGAGGACAAACTAGTCCTACCATGTAATACTTTGTATCCAAGTTTCATGAACAACAAAATATCACGCTTTTCCCTTGGGAATTTTTTTTTTTCTCAAAAAAAAAAACATTTCATGTGGAAAAAAGTTTTCCATGAACAAAACCGAGAAAAAAAATTCATTTTTTCTCACATTTAAGGAACACTTTTTCCTTAATTTTTTTAGTCCAACCAAACACCACTTATTCTTGATTAATCTTTGAGCCTAACCTATTTACCTAATTAATTGTGGGTACTCAGGTCTAGGATCTATTATTATTATATATTAAGTGAAGTCATAATCACGCACTTAAAAGTTAAACGACATTGTTGGGCACTAAGCACATATGGGCCCCCAACAATCTCAATCTTTCTCAATTCTCAGAAATTTCGTCGAATCAGAGAGAGACCCTTCATTCACTGCTCCCACTTCCGACAAATACATTATTATTCCAATTCTTGTACTCTTTTCTTTTGAATTTCTGTGAAAAGTTTGGTGACCATTTGTCTCCATGCCCATAATTTCAGCCTGCAGCGTCAATTTCTTTGCCTTCCATCCGTTTCTTCCCTCAATCTCAAGAGTCTCGAGTCTCGACCCGACAGAACATTTGGGAGAGTCTCGACCCGACAGAACATTTGGGAGAATGTAAATTATGTTGACTCAATGATTCAGTAACCAGGATCAAATGTGAGTGCACACAAAGAATCTGTCCACTTTAAGTATAATCTTCCTAGTGCCGCAACCAAAGTTTAACATTGATATCTTCTCCCAAATACTGCCTACTAAACCTTTTTCTTTCCTATACTATAAAACTTTCTCTATATTCATTATCATGTTAAATAACTTTTTTTTTAAAAAAAATTTAAGTTGAATTTATATCGAAAGCGTTTTGAAGTTTCATTATTTCATTCACAGAAAAACGCTTTGAAATTTTATTCGTGTAATCGATCATAAAATTCAAACATAAGCAAAGAAAAGTAACTCATGTTTACTTAAATCGCAAATCACAATCGTTGATTTCACTATATGGACTGAGGTATTACTAAAAGTTCAATTAGTGGGCTTCTTATGACGTGCGTAATATGGTTTACGCTAATCCTATCTATCATCTGTCTTTTTTCTTTATTTTTTGAAAGAATCATCTTTGTCTGTTATTGTTGGATTATTCTCCCAATTCTGGCTAACATTAACATATGGCTACATTCACAAATTGTGTCCCATCATCAACTTATTCAACGTTCAATCCAAATCAAATGTTAAATAATTAATGGGCAATCAAATGTCAATACTTAATGACAAAGGAACTATTAAAGTTCAATATTTGAGGCTTTGTCATTTGTGCCCGTCTGCTAAGTTTATTTATGTCTTTATGACCCATGATTTTAGATAATAATAATAATAATAATAATAATAATTATTATTATTATTATTATTATTATAAATTTTGTATATGATATATTGATATCACATGTTAAAAAAAAATTAAGTGATCTCAATTTTGTCGAACTAATCTTACCTTCACAAGATTCACCCCTAGAGCTACTGAGTCGTGCAATTAATCCACCAATCAGATTCTAATTTTCATGTGCACACAAATGATCCAATCAAGACCTTCCAGCATCTTGGACTTTTTTACCATACATACATGCTTCGTGTGGATTCTAATGACATGGTTATCACCACCTTCGGATGCTAATTTTAGTATGTCGATAAATTATAAAATCAGGGTGACAAGTAAAATAAGCAACTGGAATAGTAATATTGTTATTATAGTATTCTGAGTACAATTTTGAAGGTGCAAAATAGCAAAGTAATAATAAGTTTACTGAAATTTGGATCCTAAAGAGCTATGGAGTACTATTTATACAAGAGCACATCTAGGTAAAGTAGATAATACAATTTTAATCTCGGCGGCGGCAATACGACAATTATATCCAAAGTGGGCAGATCCCTCGTGCGCACCAGCATTTGACACGATTTGTTGAGCCATTGAGTCACTCTGATTTACATCCTCCTGTAAATGCTCTGTCGGGTCGAGATGTGAGATCTTGGAGTTAGAGTTCAACTTTTTTGTGCGAAGAAGATAATGCAGTTCTGACAGAATAGTTACTTTGCTTAAATCACGGTGATGTTTCATATCCTATGCAACATTAACAACCCAAAGATGCTATCATGTGTAGTGTCTTAGCACTAACTATATGAAATGAAACTATTCGAAAGATGAGATGTATGATCTGAGTCTAGGCCTTGCGAACTACTCCGTATTTGCACACAATTCTTTAAAGTTGGTCCCAACGAGTTAGGTCAGATGTAATGAAACCAATAGTAAACACAAACTATTTCAAACAACTTATAGATTGCTATAGTTTTAAAAAGTTCTAAAATACTTTGCCACTCATGTAATAACTAAAAGAGCAATACTACAAACCCCTATATTTTCCCTACAAATTTAAATTTATTTATTAGTTAGTGGTGGATTAGTCAATTCATTGGCACTCAATGAATGAAAGACACATGAGAAAGTTTGGATGCAAAAATCAAGAGGGGAAACAAACATTTTCCTAACTAAAATAAGACATGCCGATCAGTGCAAGGTTCTGAATACAAGATGAAAATGCAAAACATATCTGTATTCTGTAAACTGAAATGAAAATACCAATATATATCAACTAAAAGACCAAAGGTTCCAAAATAAAAGAAAATAAAATCAAATCAAATAAAAGACCAAAGAAAGAAAGAAAGGCATTTACAGATATACTATAGAAGAATGGTTGCAAATCGATCAAACGGTTCCTATGGCTTCAAAACGAAAGATTTCAGTGGTGCATATGCCAACACAAAGTTGAGTGCCTCCGAGTATATCATGGCAAAAAAGGCTCACTTTCCGCAGTTGAACCCGTGGCAAACAGAGAGCACTATGATGAGGATTAGCGCAATTATAATTCCCAATACAATCAGCTTAATCTTCATGTTTTGCAGCCACATTTTTCTCCGGATTTGTGTGCCAGTGTTTCTGAAGTCCTGTGCCTGTTCCAAACAAAAGATACAATAAAATTACTACTTTACCCATGCACCTACATGTTTCAGATAAACCAGCAAAGCAATAATGCTTTTGGATCAGATTGCTTGGGCTAGTTTGAGTGCAGAACCCTCAAATTTTGAACTTATTGAAATTAAAAAAATAAAAATAAAAAATTGGTATTTGGATAACTTCTACTTTGCGGAGTAGACAAGGTCCAAAACAAGTTGGGGCAAACAAGCACTAAAAAGAAAATCCAAATGGAACTTATTCTCACAAAATATAATGTTCAAACTTACAGCGTTAGGGCTGGATCACATGAAAAACCCTTTTAAAATTTCAAACCCAACATCAGTCATTCTTGTCAAAAAGACGTGTGAGCATGCATGCATGTAAATCCTTAAATTTTGAAATTACTCTATGCATAATAATTCACTCATAAGTAATTTTGGCACCATAAAGCTGAGATAAAGTTCAGAAGTGATGAAGAGCAGCCCTAAATTTGTTGAAGATACAAAGAAAATAGTAGATTCAGATCCATATAGCATGGTATTACTCCAAAAATAAAGGCTTACACAAAAGGGAATCAAGAAAAAGGAAAAACAAATGACAATCCCAATTACTGATACAAAGAGTATGAAAATAATCACCCATATATATAAGACCGACCTGATTATGAAGATTCTCTGTCTTATCCACGAGAAGCTCTATCTTTTCCCCACGGTCTAGAACCTAAGACATAGAACAAGTATATTGGTTTTCATATTCTTAAACTGAATAATAGCACATCAGGGCACAAAATATTGACAATAGAGAAATTCTCTCTTTCCATCCTCATCCAAACAGATAATCAGGCTGTTCCCCTACCTCCAGGGAAGAGAGAAAGAAAGTAGGGGAAGCCTTCACAAAAGGAATTGGATGAAGAGGAATCAATCAAGGCACTGTGGAAATCAAAAGGCACTACAATTTTCAGCCCAAATGGCTTGCAAGTTCTAACGATTAACAAAAATGTTGATATCTGCTGGAAATGAAAGTCGCTCACTCTGCAATAATCTAAATCACCTATATAAGGCCTTCACTGTTAAGTGGTTCCTAATTCTCATATTGATGTCTAGATAGATGAGTTGTTATTGTTTTACAGCACCAACTTCCAAAGCTAAATGATGATTGTGGCTGAAAACCATAACAAATGCACATCTAAATTACTTATCAAAATGAGATAAACCCTAATATCTCGTTTTTATAACGCACTAGAGTACTAAACCTGTTTAAACCATCCAAAATGATTCCCATGACCATAAGTAACCAAGCTTTCAGTAATGTAACGTTGTAGATGACTAAGCTTTTCAGTTATGTACTATTATAGATGATGGATTTGAATAATCAGTGAGTAATTTGAACCCTAGACCTGAGTTCAAGAGATTTTTGTCTTTGTGATTAGTAATTCTGTAATTCAGGAGATGTATTGTTGACTAAATCTTTCCATGCATCAAGTCACCAGTTTGTTTAAACCTTTTGACAGTGGTTTACTAAAGTTGAAAACAGAATACTCTTTATTTGCTTGGATAATTTTTACCCTATTTCTTTTCATGGAATCTCAGCTGTCAAAAGAATAAAGGTTCTAGAAGGTAGGCCAATTTTGGTCATAAGAGCATCACCATCAATGCATATTGTGGGGAGAATAGTACAATATTTGATGACTTGGAAGAGAGAGAGGGTACGACAGAGAAATTTGAGACCTTCCTACAAATGTGGGGAGAATAGCAGAAAGTGGGACCCATGCCTTCATTTCTTTCACTCCCTCACGCTGTGCGTGAGGAACAAAAAAGCCGCCCAGCGGGCGCGTCAGGCGCGCCGATAGGCAGCCATTAAAATATCATTATTTTTATTTTAAAATTCAGTTTTTCATTTTTTTTTTTTATCTTTTTTTCTCTCCCCTCCCATCTTCTCTTTTCTAATCACTCTTACATTCTCCCCACATTATCCCCAACTCATGCGGATGCTCTAAGCAGCTATGAAAAACACATTTCCTTACCTTCTCAATATTCTCCATCATGACACCTTTGACTTCTGACACCTGAGCTTTCACCTTTGAAAGTTTGCTCACCTCCTCAGGATGGTCAACACAATATTGCATATGGTCCCTTAATTTAGGCCTGCAATACACAGTCATCTGCAATGAGATTAGGTTATACAAAATATACTGGAAACTCTTGTAAGTTGAAGTCAGATACCCAAATTCCCTGTTAAGGCTATTAGCAGCAGCAGCTGCTGCCTTTCCACCGCCATATTTAGATACAAAGTCATCCTTGATGCGCTCCAGGTAACCTATGGGGATCTGCCTTCCTGCTGATTCTTCCGCAACCACACAGTAAGCTATGAAAACACAAACCAGTAACCCAATAAGCTGTATAATCAAAGCATATATGATAGTATAAAATTTTTATGTTTCCAACAAAACAGAAATCTGATAAGTGGCAAAATCCAAATATGTATGAATGCAGTAAAATGCACCACCAGCTTCATAAGCAAGCTCACAAAATGAATGCTCATAAGCATATGCACCCGATTTAGCACAACCAAGCAGACCTAAATTCATCCCATCCCATATCATTCAAATGCACTAATTCAATTGACAAATTCCTTTCAGTTCTTTCAAAACCTTCAGCTATACAAACAACTGATCTAGAAGTAAGGCATCCAAACAAAAAAGGGGAGTTATCAGTTACGCCAACCTAACAAATACAATCAGATCAAGCCTGAGACTCACCTACTTAGTCACTAGACAATAATTGAATGGAATATTGGATACCGCCTTTCATATGAACCTATGAAGATTTGCCTATGCAAGAATTCCAGCAAATAGATAAAGCAATTAATCAAATATGTATTCACTACTGCAGACAAAACCCGATCGCGATCGTGAGTAACTCGAATCGAGCCTTCCATTCCCTTTCCGTTAACATAGTTACAATAAACAAAACATTTAAGCAATACTAATCAATTTAACGATGAACTAGACAGAAGGGGCCGGAATAGCTTACTGAAGCCGTTATCGACGAGGTAGTTAAAGGTGTGGCCATCGCAGTTGTAGGTGAACTTGCTGTTGGAGGCAGGAAGCTTCTGCAAGCATTGGTAGGCTATGGAGTTGAAGTTCCCGCTGAAATCAGTGTGCTCCGCCAGTATCACGGAGCCACGCGCCACGAACGCATAGATCAGCGCCTTCTGTTGAACCATTTCTCCGATCGGTTTCTGACGGCCGATGCTTTTAGCGTTCTCCGATTATGCTTCGTGATTAAGCAAAAACAAATAGTTGTGGGAAATGAGGTAGCGAACGCCGAACGGTATAGAAGAAGACCCTTCTCCCCTATCTCTCTCTCTCTCTCTCTCTATCTGTAGTCTAAACTCGTAAGTCTTACGTCTCTTTGTAATTTTCTAGAGAGAGAGAGAGAGAGATTCGGAGCGCGTAACGGTGGACTGAGCTGAAACGGGGAAAAAAGGGAGTGGGGATTGAAGTTTTAACACTGTAACTTCTTTTCTTTTCCTGTCATTTCTTTTATGGACTATTATTCTTGGCTTTCTCTTTTTCTTTTCTTTTCACTCATTTGTCCTCCAAAATTAGTTTTGTGATTTAGACATTTAGTTATCTAAATCAATAACTAGTTTTTTTTTTCTTTTTTTTTTTTAAGCAAATACTAGTTTAAGCGTACTACTTTGAATATAAAATTGTGAAACCATTTCACTGGAAAGCAACTCAAAATTCTTTATACATTATTAGTGCAATATCTTCCTCTCCCAATTATTAGTGCAATATCTGATTGGAAGAATGATATGCAATTTTTTACTTTGAGTTATTCGATATTTGTTATTATCATTTCTAGTTATTACTCGTGCACGTATTTTGTCTTTAACCTTTTATCTATGTTATTTTTTTTGTCCATAATTCTTTAGTAATTATTACATCTGTCCCTAATTATTGTGCAAAATGCATGGGATGAAAATAACACTTACCACAAAAGTTAAGAACAAGAAATGACAATTAACCAATAATTAGGGATGAAATAATAAAATGAACAAAAGTTCAAACTGGGAGGACAACCATTTGGACCGCCTTCTAGGCCACCTTCTCAATGAGAAGGTAACCCAAAAGTTGCCTTATCTTCCGTTGATTAACCGACGAGCGTGGTGGCCGATCAATTTATTATCAGAAATATCATTGGAGTTTGTCAAAATGTTGTTTGGAATTGTAGTTACTTGTGAAGCAGGTTACTAATCGATTTTTGAACTTCATTGCACAAAAAATACAATATTTATGAGTTTAATTATTATTTAAAAAATTTTAAGAGCCTAACTGACTTCTTAGATAAAGTTTGAACGCTTTTGACCATTTTTCCTATTTAAAATAATTTGGACTTCCAAATTATGCTGTGCCCTTGCAGGGATTGTCAAAAATGCTGTGCCCTATCAGAAATATCATTGGAGTTTGTCAAAATGTTGTTTGGAATTGTAGTTACTTGTGAAGCAGGTTACTAATCGATTTTTGAACTTCATTGCACAAAAAATACAATATTTATGAGTTTAATTATTATTTAAAAAATTTTAAGAGCCTAACTGACTTCTTAGATAAAGTTTGAACGCTTTTGACCATTTTTCCTATTTAAAATAATTTGGACTTCCAAATTATGCTGTGCCCTTGCAGGGAGGTAGCAAAAAATGTTATTACACGCCGTCCGTGGGGATCGAACCCACGACCACGTGGTTAAAAGCCACGCGCTCTACCACTGAGCTAGGACGGCTACTTGAAAGGCTATGGATTTAATGCTTAATATTAAATAATACTTCTTTCCATAACGTTCGAGATTTTCGCGTCTCTTCCAGAATGCAGGTTTTGGAGTGAAACTAGAAAACGCCTCCACTCAAATACCCACCCGTCTTCGTCGCCGCTTTCAAGACAGAATCGATTCACGAACCTCCTTCCTTTAGTTCCCGAACTCGAATACTTTAAGCTACAAATGGAAAATTCAGCAACGGCTCCGGCGAAGGACCAAATAGTCGACGTACGGTCGGTGGTGGAGGCCGTGGCCGCCGCTGGAGACGACGCCGATATCGATACCCCGCTCTACGTGGTCGAGAGTCTATGTATGCGCTGCGGCGAGAATGTGCGTATCTCTCTCACTCTACCTGGGAAAATAATAATAATAATTTTGACAAGCCCGCCGGAAATTTGTGCTCTGTTGGGGTATTATATTGTTTGGCTGTTTTACTTTGTATTGACTCTTTGATTTGTTTGTTATTCGTAGGGCGTGACTAGGTTCTTGTTAACTTTAATTCCCCACTTTCGAAAGGTACGAGCTGGTTTTCTCAATTATGGCTCGGAATTATCATTCAAAAAAGTAGTTTACTCTTCCCAAACTCCCTTCCTTGATCTTAAAATTGCTGTTTTGTGCTCTTTCAGATATTATTGTCAGCATTTGAGTGCCCGCATTGTGGTGAGAGGTATGTTTTTTACTCTGCAAACGATATAAGAAAGTGATTGGGTGGACTCGGTGTTTCCAGAAGGTTTCTTATGCCATATTCTTTGTATTTTGAAGAAATAATGAAGTGCAATTTGCTGGGGAGATTCAGCCTCGTGGTTGTTGCTATAGCTTGGGCATTCAAGCAGGTGATCGAAAGGTTGTAACATAAATTTATAATTGATTTCTTTGATTGGAAGTTTGTGGGTTCGTATGTTTGCCTAATGGGAATGTGTCAGATCATATCAAGTTCATACATGTTTAACATTTATTTTTTGAAGAGTAATGTAAACTTTAAACTAATTGATAGTGTCTCTACCTTGATTGAAAGTTGTGCTGCAGAGGATTTTTTGTGGTGTGAATCACTGCCAACCAGCATACTAGGCAGAGCCACATTGTGTTAAGGGTGACAAATACTCCCTACCATCCCCCAATTTTAGAAAAATTAATTTAACCGTTATGTAAATAGTGTTTGATATACTGATACAGTCAGTAACTAAGAATATACTCTGTAGTTTCTGAATCCTGTTGAGTTTTATATTTCTTGACTTCTTGCCAGTGGTGCGTGACTAATCATTTTCAGAGAGTAGTTCATTTGAATGTCTAACTGTTTTGGTATCTTACTGCAGATGCTTGACCGAACTGTGGTGAAGTCTGAAAGTGCTACGATTAAGGTGCTTATGCTCTTTTTGGACTAGTTATAATATGCATGAGTGTTTCATGCATCCATTTGTATTTATTAACTCTCTCAAAGAAATATGCTTAGTTGTCACGTTTTATTTTTAAATCATACCAGGGATTTGACAAGCATATTTGTTAAGTATGGCTGAATAAGCCTATATACTGAGCAGTTGCTTTCCGTATGCACAGTTTCTTCATCAGTATAACTGGTACTTATATTGCTTGCATGTTTTTCCATGCAGATTCCTGAACTGGATTTTGAGATCCCTCCAGAGGCTCAACGCGGATCTTTGTCCACGGTATATATATATATATATATATATATATATTCTTACACAGTATTATGGTTGCACTGTGCTTTTAAAATTACACGTCATATTCTTGTGCTTTTCTGAATCCTCAGCTCATGGTTGCTTGTTTAAACATAATTGGGTATATTGTCTAGGTGGAAGGGATATTAGTTAGAGCTGCAGATGGGCTTGAAGCCCTTCAAGATGAAAGAAAGGTACAATTTCTGTTTGTAATACTCACTTTTATTTTTAAAGTCATCTGTTTCGTTGTCTAATTTCGATTTGCAACGTCTGATCTGTGCAGAAAGTTGATCCCAAGACAGCTGAAGCCATAGACCAGTTCTTGGTAAAATTAAGAGCTTGTGCTACTGGCAATTCATCCTTCACCTTCATTCTTGATGATCCAGCTGGTAACAGCTTCATTGAGAATCCGTAAGAGACTTATCTTATTTGGAGTGAACTCAGTCAAGTCTACTACATTTGTTTGCTGTTTCATGCTTGGTTCAAGTTGCTTAAAACAAAGAAGTATTGGTGTGTGGTGAGGGTAGCTACTGAGGTTAATTGTGAGCACAAAAGGAAAATATGAACGAAGCAGTTTTAATGGAACAAAATGTGAAATTTTCAACCAAAAAAGAAATGGAAATTCCAATGCTGTTATAGTTTGAATTTTTTTCAAAATTGTAGAATGGTATAGTTTTGAGTGTACTAGAGAAACCAACAAATAGAAGTTATGCTTGTTGGAAACATGTGTGTTTTCTATTTGCTTCTTAAAAGTTTGTGCCTTTTGTTAATGTTTGCAAAATTTAGAATGAATTAGAAGGATACGTTTTCTTATCTTGCTGGGTAAATATGCGTGCATCATACCTGTGATATTTAAGGTAACATCTTTATCTGAGGATCATAGCTTCTGTCTCCTAGTCTGAATTTTTTAATGGATTATTTGGGACAGGTGTGCTCCCTCTCCTGACCCCTTGTTGACTATTAAGTTCTATGAGCGAACTCCTGAACAACAGAAAGCTTTAGGGTATGTTGTTGATCCCTCACATAAAGACTCTATTGGTGGGGTATCAGAAGAGGGGACAAACAATTTGCCGGAGCAATTGCAAAATGAGCCACATGGAGCAGTTGGAGCGAAGGCTGGACGCCGTGCTATTGCTCAGGGTAACAGTACTGAAGTTGCAGAAGCTTTATTTAGATATTCTGCACCTGAAGAGGTATACTTTTTCTGCAGTTTTTCATTAGTTAGTTGTTTATTCATTGCATTCACATATTTTTACCCACCTTTGGTTGACAGGTGATGGTGTTTCCATCAACTTGTGGAGCTTGTGCTGCAAAGTGTGAATGCCGAATGTTTGTTACTAGTATCCACCTTCCAACTATAAACATAGTGTATATATTTTCTTCCCTTAAAGGCTAAAGGAAATTCAAGTGTTTTTACCCACTGTAAGATGTGCACTTCGTGGATCTTGAGGTGCAATTGTTGCAGCAGGCACATAAGTCATAACAGGCAGCTTTTTGTAATCTCACAAATTTTTTAATTAGCTATCACATGAAAAGTGTATATATATATATATATATATATTATCAACTTTCATTATGCATTATCAGCTTTATAAAAGCCTCATCAATTTGTGAACTTAACCATATTTAGATATTCCCTATTTTCGAGAAGTAATTGTAATGGCATCTGCTTGTGATGCTTGTGGTTATCGCAATTCTGAGGTTTGTAAATAAGCTTTTAGATTTTTCAAGATTCATTATGACTGTTAATTTTGTATGTTTGTTTATTTCACCTCGTGACTCTGCTCATATTCCCAGTTGAAACCTGGTGGTAGCATCTCTGATAAAGGAAAGAAGATCACGGTTTTGGTAGAGAATGTCAAAGATTTAAGCAGAGATGTGATAAAGGTATACTTTTGCACTAGTCATCGTTGGTGGGGAGCAGATGCGTTCTCTTCTCTCCATTTATTTTCTTATTCATTTTGTTTTGTTCTTTTTCCTGATTGAAACTGCTGAATTTATCAGTCGGATAGTGCTGGGGTGAGCATACCAGAGCTTGACTTGGAGCTTGCTAGTGGAACTCTGGGTGGTATTGTAACAACCGTTGAAGGTTTAGTCACAAAAATAAGTGAAAGTGAGAATCTTCTTACACATTTCCTTCTTTCATCTTGCTTCTTCTTCTTCCTCCCTTTCGTTTTTTTTTTTAAAAAAAAAAAAATCAAAATTATCTATTGAATAAAATTATGTGGCTGGAGTTTGCTTTATGATTTCTCAATATTTTAAATTTCAAGAATTAATACTTGCTGTATATGTGGACGGAAAATGGTACTGCTGTTTATTTGTAACCTTCATTCTGTTATCCTTGGTAAGTTGGAGTATGTAGCCATGTAGTGGATAATACGCTCCAAGGACAAGTGATTGTGGATGATGCTGGCCAATTGATTTCATAATAATTTATTTTTGCACCATCGATAAGTCATTTGCAACCTTGCTATCAACATTGTTTTGATATTTCTCTGCAAGTTTACAGTTTTGTTTGATTTTTACTATTATAACAACCAGTTATTTGGTATTATGTCTATCTGATCTCATGCTATTTTCATGAGCATTTGTTTAATCAATTAATTCCTTCAGGTCTCGAGAGGGTGCATGGATTCACATTTGGAGATAGTCTTGAGGAGGACAAGAAAGCTAAGTGGCTGGATTTCAGAGCAAGACTTAGCAAGGTAATGCTAGTTTAGTAAAATGAAATAAAATGAGAAATGCATTGTCGAAATAATTTCTAGTTCCTAAGAAGGTTAAGCATGTGCTTAAAAAGATAATTGCATGCGGGCAGTATTATTGCAACTAATTGGTTGTCCAACCATTTTAGCCCCTTTGGTCGATTATATTTTCCAAAATCGGATTTTTTGAACTGTAATGATTCCCTACTTTGCAATCTTCATATGTTTCACATATTAGGGGAAAACTGGTGGTGGGAATTATTACAGACACCTATGGATTGTATTCTGACTCATCTTCTAAACTTTATCTTCACTGGTTCTGCAGCTTTTAAGCTTGGAATCACCTTGGACTCTGATTATCGACGATGCACTTTCAAATTCTTTTGTGGCTCCTGTTACCGACGATATGAAAGATGACAAGCAGTTAACATGTAACTCTTCTCAACATTGATCATTCATTAAGCTAACTGTATTTTACTCACGAAAATCTTGCCTTACAATTTGCAGTTGAGGAATACGAGAGATCATGGGAGCAGAACGAGGAGCTGGGACTTAACGACATGGACACCTCTGTGGCTGATGCCGCTTATAGTTCTGCAGACACTGCGGCTACTGAGAGGAACTGATGGCTGGCGAGCTTGAAACGCCCCATCATGCCTGTTGTTGTAATTCCGTATTTGTTACTTGTTATTGTGATGTTCCATCTTTACAAATTATTTAGGAAAATACTCTGCATATATATTATTGTTGAGGAAACATATCAGGACATTTAGGCATGTAGCATTTGATCAAACCATTGAGTTTTTCGGAGTTGTCAGTGAAGCTTTTTGTGGCTAGGCATGTCAACAGAATAGAGTAACAGATTTTGATATTTCTTGTCGATGAGTGTCTTGTGTGAGTAGAATTATATTTTTTTAGTTGACCCTTTTCTTTATTTTTTTTTTTTACTAATTACTTCAAAATTTGCATCGGAACTTGGAGGTCATTAGGAGACATTGATCAAAGATTCAAAGGAGATGAAGATCTCATGTATGCAGAGTGGACAAGTTATACCATGGATTGGACTATGCATTATGGATTCTGGTCCAAAATAACATTCAAATTATGTGTGTATTTTACAGGTTGACACATAAACTATTAATGTTAGACATAAATAATCTAACTATACTAAATAAGAATACGAGATACCTGATCTCGTAAGCGGCGATAGTCGTGTTGATTTCTAGCCATAGTTGATAGATCATTAGCCATATTTGTCCATACTTAACTCAGTGGTGTATTAGTGTTTGTTGAGTATCTACTGAACAGGGTGAAAAGAATCTGACGAACTAAGAATTTTACTATTAATTTAACGATATAACTAATGTAATAATAATAATAATTAAAAAAAAAAACAAAAAAAAACTAGAGCGTCAAAAACATGATGGCTATAAAAACAGTAGCAGGCCAGAGGGGTGGATGTCACCTCTTAGGCTCTTATCCAAAAACCAGCCAACCAACAACAAATATCTTCCTCCCATTTCATTTGCAGAAGAGGGTAATCAAGCTGCTACATATTCAACAATGGCTGCCAAGTGTTTCTCCATTTCCAACACTCAAATTCTAGCCTGTGCAGGCCACAACAGCAGCAGCAGCACTTCACATTCCATTCCCAAGACTTCTCCCTCACTCCCCAAATTCAACACTCCCACCTCTTCCCAGAAACTAAAACACCCCAAGAACAAGCACAAGAACTCTACCCGACCCTCCATTGCAGAGATCGAAAGAGCCATCGGCGCTGGTGTTTTCCGCGATCCCGCCATTTATAAGCAAGTTATCTTTCCAAATAAGTTAACATACAACTTTGTTTCACAAATAACAAAAAAAAGAAAACTGTTGAATTGAATTTGCAGGAGGGTGGAGTCAGGCTCTGATGTTGGAGGTGAATGGCCTGTGGAGAAGAAGTTGCGTGAGGTCGGGGAATGGCTGCTAGCCGCCACTGAAACCTCGCCCGACACCTCTTCTCGTACGTACATACGCTATTTCTTCTGATCTTCACTTTCCCCACACACACAAAAAGAATCTTTAATTTGTTCCTGCATCTTGGATTCTTGGTGTAGATCGATAATGTTGGGTGGTTGATTTAATTTGCAGGAAAGATACTGAAGACTGTGTTCTTGTGGATTCTACCAATGTGGGTTTTAGCATTCCTTGTAGCTGCCAGGATTATACACCTGCCCTTCACCTCTCCATTTCTTGATGATCTGCTCTTATAAGCTCTTATATATAGAGCATCTTTAATTTGTTCTTCAATATTTCTAAATTATGAACATAATTGATGTAGAATAGACATACAGAATTATAAGATCAAATAATATCTTATTACTTACAATCAAAGCTCTTCTTTCATTAATCATTCTTATATTTGGGCATATTATGGAGTAATTATATTAAAAGGGATGTGTAATGAAGATGATTCCTGGAAAATGAAGAAGTCAATGAGGTATTTATAGTGGAATCCATCACCTTATGGAACTAAGTCAATTAACCTATCGAGTTCCCTTCACACAACAAGTTGAGTTGGTTAATAAATTTTCTAACTAAATTTGATTAGTCTTATTAACGTAAGTTATGATCTAAGAGCATCCACATTTGTGGATTATATGGAGTTATTTCAAAATTAATTCTCCCCACCCAATATAATAGCTAATGTGGGGAATAATTATTTGAGAAATAATTCTCCTGCAAATGAAGGGAGAATTCAGAAATGGTGGGATCCACCATAAAAAGTAAAATAAAGCACCACTGGCGTGGCTGTCACCATAGCGCACAGCGGGCACGTGCAGTGCACGCGCGCGTCACAGTCTTAATTTTTTTTTTAAAAATTTAATTTTTCATTTTTTTTTTCCTTTTTTTCCCTCCCCTCCCATCTTCTTTTTCCTAATCACTCTTACATTATTCCGCAATTCTCCCCAACAAATATGGATGCTCTAATATTGCAACTGGAACTAATGTAGCGAGCTCATTTGACTAAGCAACTTGGGTTGGTTAATAAATCATTGTCTATTTCATATGGTGTTAATTTCTTAAAAGTGGATTTATTATGTTTGCTGTTTGAATTATTGAGTCACTTAAACTATCTTAGAACTCTATTATTTATTAATGTATACCTTTTTATTTTTAACTATCAAACAATTTGGCGATCAATACGGTATAATTTCTCCCAAAAAAATTTAACAAGCATTTAAACGTTACTAAAAATGGGTTCGGGTTAGTAGAAAATCCATTCCAATATTCCATAACCAATAACCAACCCGATACCCGAATTTCAGTATTTTAATTTTTCGAAACGAAAATTGTCTGCTCAGCGCGGCAAACGCTTGGACCAAAACATTAGGGCTTCTGGGCGGTCATTTCCAATTTCGGTTCCAGCAGAATGGAGGGAAGAATAGACAGAGGGGCTTCAGGGACGGTCGATTTCTCCGGCCATCTCCGGCCTGCAGTGGATTTGACCGGCGGCGTACACCAGCTGCCGTGCTGTATCAAGTACAACGGACCCTCCGAGGTCTCTCACTACTTCAGACCCAAACATACTGGTATGAAAAAATCACCTAAAATTTTCCGCACACTTTTGATTATGTAAACTTAAACGGAGCATATGTTGATTTTTATGTCGACGAGAAGAGGTGGTGCTTGATGGACTAATCGTGGAGGAAGCTCATTTTAGAGGAAGGAAGCTCCAGGGCGCCACTCTTCCGATACCACAAGGATACTCCGGTAGCTATCCATGATTCGCTCTGTTTTCATGTGTGTGTTCTACTTAAATTATAAGCTTGTTTGGTAAAACTTATTTGATTATAACATTCATAATCCAGTTTCTAGTATGTAGCACAGATTATTGATAATGATTGTACACTACTTTTTAGGTTATTGAAGTGAATAGTTTATAAGTAGCTCGGAGTTGATTATGGATTGTGAGTGATCCATAATCATTAACCTTAGTTACAGTACATAATCATAAGTTTTACCACACAATGCCGTTCGTTGTACTTGCAATGATTGTTGTCTTTGATGTTCTTTACTTTTGAAGTAAATGTTTGTCATTTTGTAATGCTCGTTGCCTTTAAAGTAGATATTCTTCACTCTTGGAATTTTTCTATGCTCATAGAATGCTAGTCTGAGCTCATAGTATATTAATTGGGGTTTCTATTAGTTAACAAGGAGGTGCATGTCTTTGTGCTTTTATCTTTGTTTTTGTTTCTTTGTTCTGGAGACTTTCTGTTTAAATGATTACTCTTTTGCCACAAGTTGTTATGGGTGATACTTGAAGTCGTTGAAGATAGCCTATTTGGGGAGAAAGAAATAGGAGGGAAAATAGAGAGAAAGGAAAGTGGAGGAGAAAATTGGTGTTTGGATGAGTCCTAAGAAGAAAGAAAATGAGAACAGAAGGGTAAGAAATGGAGAAAGGAATTTCCATGTATAGTTGGTGTTGAGAAATGGAGGTTACTTTTTGCCTGATTTTCTTCCTGTTTTGGGAAGGAAAGTATTTTATATGATTACGCTTCAATTTTCTTATACTCTTTTCCATACATTTTCTTTCTCACCCAAACAAGAAAAACTAAAATTTCTATCCCACTATGCAAACACATTATGAAAGTCAATGAAATCATCTACTGTTTAATTCTTTTAACTCTTCCTGGACTTCTTCTCTATATTTGTTCTTAAAATGGCTTCATATATATTCTGTATACAACTTCTGTAATTGCACGATTAGACTCTGATTTCTTCATGCAAGTTTAAGATTTTGAGACAATCCTTTCATTTTGGTATTAGCAAAGCATTAGTTTTAGGTGCTGAGTATTTTCAAGATATGATTGTAAAACCTTTAAAAGAATGTTTTAGCATTAAATATTTCAAGGAAAGGTTTAACAAGGATACCATTTTGTTGTACTTCAAGTGCATATGTCTAGAATGCTACTAAATGTAACAAGAATATCTCTTTCAAAGTTTTTAGAAATACACATCAAAGCGCAAGACAATGAATGAAAGAAAAACTTGTTTTGTGTTCAGGACCTGTTGGATCAGTTGACATGAGTGTTACAAATGTGTTCCCAAGAAAGAAAATAAGAAAAGGAGACTGTTCTGTGCTTTTCGGATTATGATGTTGGGTACAGATATGATTTCCCAAGAGATGGTAATGTAGTTAATGTAGTGCAATGCCAACCAAAAGCTCACTCGAGAGTTCTTTGTGATTTTGAAAATTTAATCTAAATATTTATGAGCATCAGCATGTATTAAGGACTTCTGTGTTGTGTTTTTGGTAGGGTAGCATTCAAGTTGTTCCAATTTTTTATTACTGAGTTAGTCTTCACATACTGTAAAAAGTACAGGAGTTGATTTCTAATTATAATATGCCTTTAGGCCTAACAATATGGCTACCCGTTATAAACCTCTGAATTGAGCATGGTGTTCCTTTTTGATTGATTTCCCATTTTTTTTGGGGAATTTAACTATCCCTTAGTACGTTTAAAAAAAAACTATCCCTTAGTACTAATTATAAGCTATCTGCTGTCACATCTGTTTCCTTAACTCTACATTATTTGTACTTCTTTTTTCTTCCAAAAAGTATAAATTTCTTGGTATTACCTTCAGGATTTGTCTTGGGAAAGAGAAAGCCTGATGGAAAAGCAAATACGTCTCAGGAAAACTCAAATTGCTGGGAGATGAAGGCAAAGTTCCAAAACGTAACATATTGGAATCATGATACACCTCCCTCACAAAATGATGATTTATCGCGTGCATTTCACCTGTTTGCTGTTGCAAAATCAGTAAGTTCTTAGCTATTATCAGTGATCATGAAATATCTTATTATTGTGCATATCCGACCCTACTCGTTGAACATAGACTGTGCTTACTGATTAGCTATCTGTTAAATAATACACATACTGGAATCCCCCTCTTAACTTAACACAGCAAACTTTATGACACTGCTATATGTACTCCCCCCTCAAATGCACATCAGAAAAGAAAAAAAAAAATTGAGGTATTTTTTATCTAATAGTTGAACGCTTACAATTGCAGCTTCATCGACCGGTGAGCATTGAGGATCTGGAATCCGCACAAATTGATTGAGACGAGACCTTGAATAACAAGTTGATTGACAAATGCTAAAGGACTCAGTCTTATGTTGTGTATGCTTAATCCATTTTAATTAAGCAAAAAGTTTTTGGTATTTCATTTGGTATCATGATTCCCAATCTTGGGTAGCTGCACACACCCTATTCCAGGGATATGATTGTATATAATCCCATTGTAATTCTATGGTTTAAGCGAATTTATGTCTTTAGTTTTCCATTGTTCATTATCTGTTTTTTAAATTGAAGAAATTTATAAGAGAACATATCCTTTTCTCAAAAGAAAGGGGAAATTTTCCAAATAATTTACATACTATTAAATTAGTATTTTCTTTAACTATTATAATCTGATTTTTTTCTTCTCTCATGCTTTTAACTGGAAGTTAAATTTAATGTTTAATTATTTAGAAGTTGAAATTTAAATTTGTTGTAATTTCTAAATGGAGAAACGTGAAAATGAGTAATTATTTTTGTTTGAAACTATAAAATTTTATTATTATTAGTTTTGTTTTTTTTTTTTTTTTGAATAGAATTATTAGTAATTATTAGTAATTCCATTAAACATGAATTATAATAGAATAATATACTTTCAACGTTTAAAAAATGATAGTGTCTTTTTTTATTTTTTTATTTTTATTTTTTTTTTTATTTTTTCTTTTAATGTTAGACAATTGTATAATTTTTGTTAGTGAAAATGACATTTTTTCTCTCTGAGTTATATAATTATAACAGTTTTTCTTCTCCCGAGTTATTCATGTATCTACATTTTTCCTCTCAGTTATATTAAAAGTGACAATTTTCACATCATTTTATGTTAGATGGACATTTTACCCTTAAAACTAAGTATTTTATTTATTTTTCTTTTACCAATAAATTATTATTTATATGTACGGAGTAACAACCAAATTGAAACAGTAGGGACATTTTTTGTTACGATTCAGAACTGGAAAATAAATACAATTTATTTATTTATTTTTATAAATTCTACTTCTTATTTTTAAAATAATCTAAATTCAACAATTATTTTATTTATTTTTATTTTTTTTCTGTTTCTAAATCGTAACCAAAACCGTCCCTTCTATTTCGATTTAGTTGCTACACTGTCTGGTTAGGTTGAAATCGAACCGCGGTCATCCGTACATATAAGTAATAATTTGTTAGAGAAAAAAATAAATAAAATATTTAGTTTTAAGGAAAAAATGTCTATCTAATATAAAAGATGAAAAAATGACACTTTTAATATAACGGAAGGAGCAAATATGAATCCATGAATAATTTAGGGGAGATGGGAAAAATATGTCATTTTCGGATTTTCCCTTTTTGTTAATAATATGTTGGTTAGAAAAAGCATTTATAATTTTAATAACTAAATTATACGCAAAATAACGAATTCATCTTCTCCACGACTAGACTACACCTATTAATCTTCAAAGCCAAAAGAAAATACAAAATCTCCTCCACCTCAGCAGTAAATGCTGAAATTCGAGTAGCCACGGCGTCAATATCAGATTCTGCCGCGAGCTTACGGATCCACCGCCAAAACGCCGGATCCAATCTCGCCGCTTCCACCGTCTCTTCACTCAGGTTCTTTTCAACCCTCCGTCCGATCACCGATAAATTTTCTGTCTGTTCAGTTAAAAATTACTGTTTTTTCCCATTTCTTTCCGTCACGGTAAATTTTATTAATTTTTCTTTTAAAATGAAGCATTGAGATTCCCCCAGTTGTGAAAATGACTTTTAATTCTACATCGATTTTTGCGCTTGTTCATGAGCTGAATTTCTGTGTAATTGTTGGAGTACTATACAATTACAATTTAGTTCTTACAACATTTTTGATCGAATAGGATTAGGTATTACTCAACAGAACCTGGGACGTGTGATTCTAAAAGCTGAGAGAAGTAAATTTATGTCTCTTTAACTGTTTATAATCGTTTGTTTGCACTTTTTTGCATTTGCAAATCTAAAACCCATTGCTTATCATTTGTCTAAAGCCTGTAGAATTTTGAGTACCATCTATGAAGTTTGTAATTGATCATTCTGCACATTGAGAATTGAGAGAAACCTAGAAAAGATAAGCTGGTCTTGTGTTAGATTAGCTAAAAAAGAAATTGGGCAGTCCAGATATTGATTAATTGCTATTTTATCAAGATTGTGAAAATTCTTTACTTTATATGATTCACTTGAATATGGAAAAGAAACCCTTTTTGATTTCTAAGAGGTTGCCTAAATCCTTTTGCAGGGGAACTAGAAGGACATAGAAATGTTTTCATTGTTTTATGGACTTTGGAAGTACGCCTTCAGTAAGACAGAGTTTCATGTCCTTATTCTGGGGATTGACAAAGCTGGAAAAACGGTATCATGGATATGTAGTTTACTTTCTGATTCCCTTTTGTTAACCTTCTCAATTAGCTGAGACCATTCAGGTTCTTTATTTTAATTTATTTATTTTTGTGGTTTATGAATTCTCAGCATCACAATCACCTAGTGTTTAGTTGTATATGATAAAAGGATATGGTTATTTCAGATTTGATAAGTTACGTTTCTCCATTGGCTGCTATTGCCTGCTATCTACAAGTCCATTGCTCAAGTCTGTAGGCACTGAACAGTGCAAACTTTTATTCGTCACCATTTCAGTGTTAGTAGAAATTGCACTTATGGTAGAAATGGTTAAATTAGTTCCTTAATTACAGGGGTGAGCTAAGTCACCCCTAATCATCTACCAGAGTGGCTATTTTGGTCTCTCTTGTCACAACAGTTGTTAATTCTGTCTTAAAATTTACATATTTCTTATTAGCGATGTCAAAAATAAAAGTATGGCTGGCATGGAAATCTAGAATATGCCAAATACTCGTGTGACTGTCTAATTAGGGGTGACATTGGCTCACCTCCGTAATTAAGGTACTAATTTAGCCATTCCTATCTATCTTAGGAATAAAATGCAATTAACCCTAGTTTGTATGAACACCATCCATTGGAACTATTTATTTTGGTTTCTAGTCTAGATTTCCTTGGAGAACAGAAAAATGATGCTAATAGCATTTCATTAAAAACACCGGAACATTCACCTATAACTAGTCACTGCATTGTCTTAATTGGACAGATATTTCCATCCCCATCCTCCCCCCTGCAGTTCCCTTGATCAAATTGAGCCCTGGGATCGAATGGTGCTCACTGAATCTCAAGTTATTGCCTAGTGTGGGAGTGGGGGATGGGGTGGGTAAATAATCCCATCCCCTTCCCCAATGCCAAGTGTCCATCTTTATGTTAAACATTACATAAAATGTAAATTTGATTTCTTCTTTGTTACATAAATGATGCATGTGATGTTGTTTAATAAAATATTTTGATTTTAGCTCACTTCTATGATTTTGTCATTTTAGACATTATTAGAAAAATTGAAGTCACAATTCTCAAACTCAGAAGGCCTTCCACCTGATCGCATTGTTCCAACTGTCGGACTAAATATCGGCCGTGTTGAAGTTTCAAATTCAAAACTTGTATTTTGGGACCTTGGAGGGCAGGTATGTGAAAGAAAGAATTTTGGATTATAAATGCACTCATGCATCTTGTATGAACCCATATATAATTAATTCATCATGTTTGTTAGCTATAGTGTAGTCAATAACTTGAGTTGTTGAAGGCAGACACAGCGCCATAAGTTCTTTAGCTATTGTTCATTTTGCTAGCTCTAAACTTTCTGTTTCTTGGGAAGTTTCCAGTGGAAACCCAGGTGCTCCACCTTTTCTTATGGGACCTAAGTTGATATATAGAGATTATATAGTTCCTGCCCTCCTGAGCTATGGCATGTCCATGTAGTGTTTGGATGCACTCTGGTTAATGCAGGCTTTCATATGCTTCCTTCTAAGGAATTCTGTACCTAATGTGGATCATTGTGTTCCTTCAGCCTGGTCTTCGCTCAATTTGGGAGAAGTATTATGAGGAAGCACATGCTGTAATGTTTGTAGTTGATGCTGCTTGCCCATCACGTTTTGAAGATGCTAAATCTGCTCTTGGTACCTATTTTAACCCTCTTATGTTTTGAGGATTTTGTGCATTTTGAGTTACTACTTGGTGCTTATCATCAAGAAGTCTTATTCATGGAGAGGTGATGTTGAAGGTGCTCTTGATTTGTAAATGATTGACAGAAAAGGTTCTCCGGCATGAGGATCTCCAAGGAGCCCCCCTTTTAATATTAGCAAACAAACAGGTAACGTTTCTGTTTAGGTAAAAACTTTGGTAAAAGTCATTTAGATGTTTGCTATGGAATTTCCAATCAAATTATGACAACTAATGCAGCCCAAAGAATCAATACCCCACCACCGGGGTTCGATCCTGTGACCTTCCCTCAAGGGGAACCACGGAGGTGCCATCTGAGCACAAAGTGCTTGGCAACTTTCCTGTTTTTTTTTTTTTTTTTTTTTTTTTTTTTTTTTTTTTTTTTTTTTTTTTTAACATACTTGAGCAATATCTTTGTTGAACTTATTGACACAGGATTTGGGCGGATCTGTATCAGCTGAAGAACTTGACAGGTATCTTGATCTCAAGAAATTGGACGAGAGAGTCTATACATTTCAAGCTGTTTCAGCATATGAAGGGTGAGTGGAAGAACCATTATTTTCTGAATTGTTTTAGAGTAAAGACAGCTACCATTAGCGGTGAAGCATGACTTACGAGAGAATTTTAAACTTGGGTACAGGGTGGGAATCAAGGAAAGCGTGAACTGGCTTGTAGATGTAATGGAGAGAAGTAAACGAACAGAGGCGTTGAAACTACGTGCAGACTCCTCCAATTTTTGATCGCCAGCCGTAGATATAGAAAGCAAGCTACAATTAGTATTCACTGCACTTCATGTTGCTACTTTGTGTAAGTAATCCATTGTTCAATTTGAATTAGTAGCTTATATTACATATATATATACCTAAACGAGAGTTGTGGATACTCTCGCTGTACTTTGACATTTGTGTTTAAGTTCGCCTCCCAGTTAGCAAAGTGTAAAGGAGAAATCTTTTGTTCATTTCTTTCAAGCTGTGGCTTACAATCCTAACTCATCTAGTTGAACCAAGTTATTTTTTTTTTTGGGTTTTTTCTTTTAAGGAAAATGTTTTGTTCAACTTCAAAAATTCTCTCCTAAAATTTGTCCTAACATGTTTATAACGACTGGGTGTCATGAATTGGTTGATCCTTTTAACTTGTTATCAAAGATTAAACTATTCAATGAGAAAATGTCATGTCAAACTATCAGAGGGAGATTAATAGGAAAAAATCTTGGAAGTGTGCGTAGGGGTGAGCATTGGTCGATTTAAAACTTTAACTGAACTTTCATAATCGATCGAAAACTAACCGATCAACCTTCATAACTTCATAACCGATATAATTGAAACCGACAAAACTCTCATTGTCACAGAGTGTCCCTAATTTTCTCTGGTGTTTAAAATTCTTGAAAATTGAGTTTCGAAAATGGAAATGGAAAAGGAAAATTGAAAAAAATATAAAAAGGAAGTAAACAAGCCAAATTAATTAATTTATTGGGCAGTCATGTAGGGTAGCAGCAGAAAGCAGTATGGTATGTTGAGGCTCAACTAATACTATTATGATTTATGAAAGAGCTCTCAACCCATACAGATAAAAAGCTTTGGGAAGCCATGAAAAGTAACAACCCCAACCAACCCTCACTCCCAGCTAGACATCTACATGTACAAAGGAAACAGTTATGGTGACGAAACGAAACTTGGTCGCTAAAATCTTCACAGCACAGCGCAGCAGCATTAAGGTTTAAGAATGAGGTTGTCAAAAATCTGTCTTGTAAGCTTCTGGTTTGTACCACAGCGAGAAATCAACCCCTTTGTTTTTCAACTTCTCGGTTGCAGGACCAATTTTCTCGAGAAGCTGCATAAGAAAGATGGCAAATGCAGAAACATTGTGAGTTTTTTGATGAAATAATCAGAGCCTCGTTATCTCAAATAAGAAAGAAAAGCTAGTTAAGACAATGCAGAAACATTCTGTTGGTTCAAAAATACGTAACAGACTTTGAAGTTCGAGAACCAAGCAATTGTCGGGGACAAAACTGACCTTGTCATGAAGCGCTCCATTGGATGCCAAGACGGATCTATCGAATACACAATATTTTTCACCATCCGTGCGGGAAACTAAACCCCCAGCCTCTTCAACTATCTGCATGTAATAGAAGCACCATATACATTGAATTTCTAAGAAAATGGTAGGTTGTCCTTGCAAAAAAATGATGCTTTACACTTCTACTAATTCAAAGCTTCTATATATTCTTTTTATATTTCAAGTTTCTGGGTACACAAGCAAAGCATATATGAAAGCAAGATTGAAACATCTTCTGACTGTAAAGAGAACTTGCTTCAAGAAACTTCAGTAATGAGCGTGTATTTCAAGAAGGGGACAAGAAGGTATACCAGAACTCCGGCTGCATTGTCCCATGGTCTTAGACGGTATTCCCAGTAGGCTTCAACAATTCCCAGAGCAACATGGCAGAAGTCTACTGAAGCAGCGCCAAGCCTTCTCACGCCCTTTACGATATGGCAAGAAAAACAGCAAGGATGTGAAAACGTGCGAGATCTTAACCCAAGACCATCCTAAGAATTAGGAGATGCTAGTAATGCAATCAGTTGGCCATGGAATTCTTCGGCCAAGAACCGTAAAACAAGCTATAGGAATGGTGGTGTATAATGCGTCTAGCTCAATTTTTGCTTTTTGGAAAATAACAACATACAACATAGAGATCTTACAGGAATTGCGCACACGCCCTATCTTATTAAATGAAGAAAACATTCTCCACTAAATATCTTGCCCACAAAAGACGAAATCCTTTGCCCCAGGGGACCCCACACCCGGCCGGCCGGCCGATAGGATTTGTGGAGGTGGTAAATCATAGCAACTCAACGGCCCATTAGGTGGGAGGACCAGTGCTTGGTGCCCACAAGGAGCCCACCACATTGGGTGTAACTCCTACACCGTGGTTGTTAGGGCTCAATCCTGCATCATTGCCCACAATCTGCCACTCAAGAACTAACTAAGCTACCCGTGCAGGCCACTATACAACCACCACACGAAAAAAATGAAAAAGAAAGGAAAATTGGAGTGGAGATAATAATTCAAAAGAAGAGAGAGAGAGAGAGATGGGAAAAAGTTGCTACCCTGCTTACGCCAGTAAATTCCTTAAATAATTCCATATTGGTAGCCCAGGAATCATCACGATCATAGCCATATCCCGTCACTAGGAGAGATTGCTCCACCTACAATTCGAAGAATTGGGGAAATTGAGTATTAGAGGCAAATTTCAATATGAGCAATTTAATCTTAGCCATGCATAATTCTACATGCATACGTAGGAAGCAACAGATGATGTCATAAAGGAGAGAAGCTACTAAACCATTTGTCCATAAAACATGTAAAATACTTGACGGCAATGGCACATATAAAGTTTAAAAATAGCTTCCAATAAGAAAACTAAAACTTAGTTGAATGAAGGTAATAAGAAAACTAAGCTCGTCCAAAGCCTCATGCAAGATTAACCAATGTAATAGAATTGAATGAAAAAACAAATCTTTCTCCTCAATCCTAACTTGAACGGGATTAAGCCATATTAGAGTTCGCTCACCTTATCCGTGTCAGTGACACTTAACTTTTGACCATTAGCATATGCACCTTTGCCTATACAAATTTGATAAGCTCTTGCTCACATATATATATCATTGAAATAACCAAATATATAAATTGCAAATAATAATTTCCAAAACTCAAGTATTCTTACCAACAGCTGCAGTATATGTGCGAGTGCTCCAGCACATAGGGCCACCCACAAACTCTACCTAAGAAGCAATAAAATAAGGGATTCAGATGTCATTTTCTAAGACTATAACCGAGAGAGAGAGAGAGAGAGAATGTTTTTCCACCAATAATTTTTGGGATGTCACCGAAAGATATGATAACTATTATTTACATTTCACTAAATGTATATAATTCAAAAATCGATCAAATTTATTTTAATAGTTACCACAGTCGATGCAGCTGGCTTTCCTCTGAAAAGAATTGCCACAGAAACAGCAAAGCTCGCATAGCTATGGGTAAAGTTCGTTGTCCCATCTGCATTACAAATTTATGTTAGGAAATTGCAACAATATAACTATTTATCAACCAAGTTGGTCGGGCTGGAAATTATGAAATTTCCAACCACCTGAAAGTGATCTTAAATCAAGTCGAAAGCCTTGTTCCGACCACTTTTGGTATCCGGAAAAACCTTTGTTGCTATTTCCGACCACTTTTTGTCTCTCGAGACTTGGTCAGGTGGTTGGAAATTTCATAATTCCGAGCAGTGCATTATGCTGCTGGAATGATTATTCGAAACAAATGAATTAAAAAGATCCCAAAATGTATGAGTTTTGGGGGTGGTCTAGTTAATACAACCTCTCCAATGCCCATAAAACATGAGAAAAATGAGATGAGACTTAAACAAAATAAAGAATCTATAGGCCTAACCTAAAGGGTCAATGCACCAAAGATAGTCGGAAGATGGATCCCCAGTAAATCCTCCTTCCTCTCCAAGAACTAGGTGATCTGGGAAATTCTTTCTAACGACATCCAGAATAGCAAGTTCACTCTTTTTATCAGTGCTGAAATGAATTTAAACTTTAAATATCACCAATAATTGTAAGGAGGGGAAATGAAACCATTAAAAGACAAGCAACTAAAGATCTTACTCAGTTACTAGGTCAGTGAATCCTTTATAGTTAATGTTTCTAGGTTTATTGACAGCATCCATTACAACCTAAAACAAAATGAAATAGGAATGTTAGAGCACGTAAAGGAAGAAAGCAATCGACTTTGACTAGAACAACCAACAAGAATCAGTTGAATGCAAGAATTACGGTTGAAAACCCAAAATCTCATTAAAAAAGAAATGGAGAAACAAACCTCAGCGCCAGTCTTGGCAGCTGCTTGAACAATTTCGAGAAGCTGATCGGAAGGGATGGAGCCAGTGGAATCAGCCCCTATCCTCAAGTACTCTTTCTTGCTTTCAACCTCGGACATCACAGCTTTAGCGCAAATACTTCTTCTGAGGGACAGAATCCTCTCAAACCCATACCTTAAAGGCTGCAAATTTGCGTTCAAGAACGGGAAATTTGAGCGATTACACGGCAGAATCGTGATGGGTCTGTGAGAAAATCTCAAAGGGGACATTGCAGTTGACACAAGACGTTCTCCCATTTCGTAACAATTCAGGAATCTCTCTCTCTCTCTCTCTCTCTCTATCTTTCTCCCTCCCTCACTCCCCTCCACTCTCTGCGGAACTTATGTTTCGCAATGCGTCTGCTTTATAACGTTGTTACTTGTTCGACAAAGGTGGGGAAATTGTTGTGTGGGTCAGGGGGATACGGAATCATACATCATTGTTTTTTGTTGCTGAAGAAGCCTTTCTTTGTCCAAAACCAGGCCAGTAGTGATACCCCTTTCTGTGCCAACGCTTAACATTCCACTCATTTACAATGAACAAATTAGAAGAACTGCGATAAACATTCCACCTATTTACAATGAACATTCATCCAAAGTCACTGCACTTTTTTGCTAATAGGTTTAGCTTGTAACGAAAATACAAATTTATTTTTATTTTTTTGATAAAGAAAACTTACCGTCATGACAAAAATACAAGTTTCTTTATACTTACATAATAATCAGCTTCATGTTCCAAATGCACATTCACAACAAGATACTGAATTTTGAGATTTCAGTCCATCGAAAAATTATGGAAGTGTTTGGTAAATACATGTTAGCTGATTGGGTTAGTGGGTTTGACTAGTTGATAGCATTAGTTGATTGTAGAAAAGTGTTTGGTAAATTAGCTGATAGTTGATTACATGCAAAATGACTTTCTAAAAAAACTGATCGAAAAATTAAAACTACTTTGAACAGCTTTTTAGAGCAATAAGTTGTTACAAAAAACTAATTAATCAAACATTCATATTTATTGTTTAACCAAGTCAAACATCTAGTAATGGTTAAATAAGTTAAAATTATCGGATAGGCTAACTATTTTACCAAACAGTGCCTATATTTAAATTAAAATACAATATCATCATAATTGCATTGAATTTACTATTTTTTTTTTTAATTTTAAGAGTGATTTTTAAATTAAATTGAGATAAATTATCAACTAGATAATGTTTGTGACGGTAAATATGTTGCCGGATAATATTAAGATAACAAGTTGTATTGCTTTAGAGTACAAATATTTAGCATGTCCTACCTAATGAAGAGTCTCCTACTTATATTAGTGTCTCCAACTTTCTTATGCTCAAGTAACAATTTCAGAGTAATGGGGAGGCAAGTCTACATTAAATGTGGTTCACCATAATTGTCCCATCTTGAATAGATAAATACTGGAGTAAATGTTTTTGTTCCATGACCGTTGGTCTTCTTTAGGTGGTTTAAGATCGGATGCATATTTCATTATCCTGTCCAGTTTGATAAAAAAAATAAAAATAAAACATGCATTTTATGTTTATACATTAAAAAATGAAAAGAAAATAAACATAAAGGGGACAAATTGAATGTGGACCAATGAAGGTATTCACAAAGAGAGAATTATCTGCTCTATTTTTAGAATTAGGGAGGACTATACAATGCAGTGGCTGCAGATCAACCCACACCCAATTCCAAACATTTCTAAGCTTCTATGTTTGATCACCACAACCCTACAAACCATATCCAAACACGTGTCCATCCTATGCTTAACTCTCATCATTTTTATGCATTAAATAAATAAATAAATAAATAAAATACTAATATAAACACACACACATTATTTTTATTTATTATTTATTATTATTGTGATTCATACCTTTTTCTCTTTTGTTTTCTATCTACAACTAGAATTATACAATATCAACTAGATTTGATAGTTTTTTATTTTATTTTATTTTTAGAGTAGTATATTTTTCTCCTAAATTTATCTATAATCTTAATATTCACCTTCTATATAAGATTGTAACACTATTTGATTATATTCTTTTTGAATTTAATGATTAAAATAGATTTTTTTTTAATTCGTGGAATAGTTGGTAAGTTCATAAGCAACCAACAAATATAATTTTATGTTTTTTGAAAGGAATATAAAAATTTTATTACCTTGCCAGAAGGTGAACGTTGTGTGGTGAATTCAATCATAATCATAAAATAACGTTTTTCAACTAAGAATTTGTTCGATTTGAAATATTTTAAAGAAAAATTGCTATATTTTCTTTACTAAAATAATTACATAATCTTCATTATGTGATGTGTCATTTTATTTATAAACCTTAAAAATTACATTTTTTTATTGATATCGACTTCTTAATTCTTATGAATTATTTGACCACACATAATTAATTAAAAAGTGTACGTACTAATTAAATTGAAAAAAATTAATACAATAATAACACACCACATAGTAAAAATTATTGACCCCCTTTTTTTGGGTAGTGAAATGTAGTCTTACTCTTTGTAAAATTATATACAATAATCATGATTCTAAATTAGAGTATGGTTTCAAATTTCTAATTATCCTTCCCAAAAGGTTGAATCCCCAACCCCAAGGGCCCGACAGAGCATCTCGGAGGATGTAAAACCATAGGTGCTAGACCTTTGTTTACTGCAACACAAAGAGCCCCCTCACTTTGAGAGGTTGCTTCCACACTGCCGCTGGTGAGACTCGATCCCTAGTCATTCTTCACAAACTTCACCCCTATAGCCAGTTGAGTTGCCCATGCGCGCTTCAAACTTCTAATTATTAACTAATCGTTGTGTGGGTTACTTGTCTGATGTGATTTGCTGCAAATTACACAAGAGCGGAATTTACCAATTACACATTTAAATAGTGATTACGAATTTTTCTAATCACAAAATAAATAATTATAGTAAACGATTTAATTTGAAGGAAACAATTTGAGTGGAATTCGTGTTTTCAAAATATTTGAAGTAAATATCATTAACACTTTTTTGTCTTGTCTTTTGATATTTGTCAATAATATATTCCATATTCTGCGGTCAAAGAATTGCATGCGACGTGTAGCATTCTCGTTAAGGAAAACTTTGGTAGGTTCATTTTTATTTCCCGCTAAGGAAAACTTTACGATTGACTTTTTTTTTTTAAAAAAAATATTTATATTTAATTATTAAATAAGTTTTATTTAATTTATAATGTCATCGATTAGTTCATTAGCAAATAGCACCAGATGTAAATATTATTATAAAGTAAATTTAGAAAGAAAAGAAATATATTTTTAAAAGAGTTCTACTATGAAAATTCTCAAATTCTACTTTATCAATTATATTTTTTGATGTGATAAACATTGATATAACATTTTCATCTCGTGGGTCCATAAAAAGTTGTTTGCATTTGTAAGAGAGAGTAAAGTTGAGAATACAAAGTAATTTTTTTTTTAAAAAAATAATACGAAGTAGTAAAAAAGTCAAATCTAAAATAATACGGAGTAACAGTTTATCAAATATATAATACTATTATGAGAGATTTCTATAATGTTAAATAATATTTTTTAAAACAAAGTAATAGTTTTAATTATTTCATTATTCAAAAAAACAAGTCACCAAGTGCACTAGAAAAATCATCCCACAAAATCAGGTAAACTGCACTAGAAAAATCATCTGCGATGAGTCTGATTGAGAAGGTGTTGAAAAAACTCAAACTCATAACTTTATGATACGATAATCATGTTATACCACTCGACTATTCATTTTAGAACTTGTTTTCTCTTTTAAAATTTGTTATTGTTATTGTTATTGTTATTATTATTATTATTATTATTATTATTATTATTATTATTATTATTATACTGTAAAACTGTAATAGGTGTCATGTGCAACTGTGCAAGTATCTTTTTGGTGACTCTGCAGAATATGTTGTCTTATTCATTGGTTTAAAAAAGACATGTGATTGCAGATTAAAATGATGGAAGAAGAAGTAGAATAACATAATTATAATTGGGGCTTTTTTCATATTTGTAGGTACACGTGTCAAGTGAAGATCATTGGTAGTTATTCCTTAGCAAAAAATAGAGGGGGAAGAACATGACGTGTTTGGTGGATGAATGGTGTAGTCGAGATTAATGAAGATGACAGAACTTCAATTATTTTGGCGAGATGTGACATTTTACTCCTTCAGTATACAAATGCGAACATGGGGCTCCTCTCCCTTCTTCCCACATTGCTGCATTTGTAAATTGTACATATCATATCATGCTCACTCACACACTAACATGTAATCTTCTTCATTTATCTCTCTTTTTGTTTTGTTTTTTGTTTTTTTTAACCACTAGATGTTCCAGATTTTTCTCCATTCGTCTTACTCTCCATTCGTCTTATTGTCCGGATCCACCTGATTAATCCTCGTTAGCTCCGAAAGGCATGGAAGTTGGCCCAAGGGGAACTGTCCACCCTACTCTAATATAAAAATTTTAATAAATATTTAAATATATATTATTATATTAAGAATAAAAATTCTCTTTTGACTTCTCTCAATTTTTATTATTTTTTTTTTACAAAATTTTACTATGTATTTATTAAATATAAGCCTAAGACATACTACATTGACGTTCAAATTCACCAAATAAAAAATAAATCAAATAATTAATTAGTTAGTTATTATGCATTTTTATTATTTATTTACACTTTTAAGATATATATTTGCTAATTTAAGATTAATTTTTAAATTGAAAAAATTAATGTTAATATTTGTTTTTTTAATTCGTGATTTTGAATTTTGTCATCATTCTTCAAATTTTGATAATTAGTAAAATTAATATCAATTAATTATGTATATAAAAAAAGTTGCCAACAAAATAATTGAAAACTTTTATTTGATAAAAGAGTGACAAACAAGATTGTTATTGTATATATTTTGTGTTATGTGAAAAATTATAAAGTATCAATTAATATCAATGTCAATCGTTACATAAAGTATCATTATAAATTATTATCGATAATATATAGTATAATTATGCATGGTATATATAATGATATCATGTATGACTGCTACTATTGTTAATTGGTATTGTAAAATTTGTCTATGATCTTGGCCCCCCTTACATGAATTTTCTGGCTCCGCCCCTGAACTTAGGTTATCTCTAAGATCGTTCCCGCAAAGAAGCTCATTTGCCACTTGAACTATCCATTTAGTTTTCTTCGTTTATCTCTTTGATTCGCAAAAAATTCCGCAATCATAATCCGAATGTACACATTGAATGAAACATGTCATATGAACGTTGATAGGGATTATCCCCGATCACACTCCGTATCGTACCCAAGATTGGTACCAAGGTTGCCCACCGAGTAGAGCCATAACCGACCTCTTTGAACGACTGATCCGACCTAGATCGCAAACCGAACATAGTTTCACTCTCCAACATAACCTGTTCTCATCACTGTCGTATATTAAGTGACGTAGTATACCATTATTATAGTAGTGATTGCATGCCACTCTGACAAAAACGAACAAGAACATCACCATAGTGAAATCTTTACATTGGAAAGTTTTTAGATGAAGTTGAAGATGAACTTTTTTGGCATTATTCTAGTTGATTATCCCACATTTTGATCGTAGAATGAGGAGAACAAAAACCTAATTTGAAGAAAAACGTACATAGGCTACTGAAAATGAGTCGCAAATTTATTAAATTGGATTGCAAAACCTAAATTACCCATTTTACCTTTCATTTCAACACCTACTTCACGCCAAAGTTAACAGATGACCATTTTGACTTAAAATTCAATAGTTAGAGGACTACTTTAGATGCAGAGGAAATTTCAATTTTAGTCATATGACTATAGGGGTCTTGTTAATTTTAGTCCAAGACTTTTAGAAATGTCAATTTAGTACCTTAATTTTGCAATTTTTGTCAATTTTGATCACTCCGACTAAATTGCCGGCCAAATTTCGCCAGAAAATTTTAATAATCAAAATAATGAGGATATTATGGTCATTTCATGCCTCTTTTCTTCTTCTCCGGCGAGTCCATCCCTTTCTCTCCCGTTTCCGGCGTTCTTTCTCCCTGTAAACCTTATCGTTAATATCATCAAGCCTCATTTTCCCATCATCTTAGTTCATTGCATTCGCCGGAAACGGGAGAGGAAGGGGTGGACTCGAATGGGAAGAAGAAAAGAGACGTGAAATGATCAAAATACCTTCATTATTTTAACAATTAAAATTTTACGGCGGAATTCAGTCGGTAATTTGGCCGGAGTGACCAAAATTGATAAAAATTGCATAGTTAAGGTACTAAATTGACACTTTTAAAACTCAGAGACTGAAATTAACAAGACCCCTATAGTCATAAGACCAAAATTGAAATTCCCTCTTTAGATGCAATTAAAAGTCAAAAAAACATTTAAAAAAAAATATCTATAGTCGGAGGATATTATGTTACTGGCTCTATTACATTGTAGTATCTGTTCATATACTTTCTCAACCTACTAAAATACAAAGAACCAATAACGCCTCCACTAAAGCTCAAACTCACAACCTTCCAAATGAAAGTCCAACCCGAATACCATTAAACCACGTCTAATACAAACTACATAAATTTAACTTGCGGATAAGTAATTATATCACTCAAGAAGAAAAATACTCCGTAATAGCTTTGATTTATTGGATCTCACTCCACTTAGTCCTAAAAGCTAAGTTTGGTACCACCTTTTTGGATGTCCCAGATATTAATGCGAGTCAGGTTATATTTTGGAAGATGCTCTTAGAGTTGAAATATTGAGAACATGGTAGTGTCATAGGCAAAGATTTATATACATATAAAAATAAGGAATAAGGTTCAAATTGGCCACTGAACGTAACCTGAAAATGCAATTAGGTCATTGAACGAAAAAAAAGTGCAATTAGGCCATTGAACACTCAAAAAATGTGCAATTAGGCCACTGAACTCTCCAAACGTATGCAATTTTACAGGATAGCAGGTTACCATCAATTTTAGCAGGTTACCTGCTTGCGTGGCAGCTTAGTTGGCATTTTTAATAATTTTTAATAATTAATTTTAATAATAAATTTTATAAAAAATTGGAAAATATTAAATAAAAAATAAAATAAAGTCGTTTTTATTTCTTAAAAAAAAATTTTAATAAAAATTTATTATTAAAATTTATTAAAAATTATTTAAAATTTATTAAAAATGCCAACTCAGCTGCCACGTAAGCAGATAACCTGCTAAAATTGAGGGTAACCTGCTATCAGGTAAAATTGCACATTTTTGGAGTGTTCAGTGGCCTAATTGCACTTTTTTTTCGTTCAATGGCCTAATTGCACTTTCAGGTTACGTTCAGTGGCCAATTTGAACCTTATTCCTAAAAATAATATTGTAGATACATAAAAGGCCAAAACTTATTAAAATGAAACTGAATATATTATACAAATAGAGTTATACAAAATGAAACTGAATATATTATATAAACAGAGTTATTTTTTGCGGACGGTGCAGCACAGGTGCTGTTTCTTTTCATTAAAAGAAATGACACCGTTTTGATGCGTGTATCACAATGCATTATTGATTGCGGTCCACGGTATAATTTGCCCTGCATGAAGGATTGGGCTTATTTCATTCGATTGGTTGGGCTGCTATGATATAAATTGGGCCGAAAGCCCTTTATTATCAGACTAGGGCTCTATATATTTAAATAGTGTTTGAAAGCTTGTAATTTGCAAGTTTTCAAACCCTATTCAGTATTAGTTTTTTAAATACTTTTTCAAAAATTTGGTACTTTTTAATAACAAATTTAAATATTATTAGTATTATTATATTATATTAATTTTAGAATAAGTTGAAATTGAAGAAATGTGAAAAAATAGTATTAAATTTCAAATATGCTGATATGATAACAATATAATCTACTTTTAAAGATGAGAAAATTACAAGATATCTTAATACCTTTATGTCTATATACACACATGTGTGTGACTTGAGTCATTTGATAATCTTCTTTAACTAACTAATTAATTATTTATTGAAAGATGTGACTATATTGCTCTTCAGATTCCTCAATCGTCATAAATAAAGCAGGTCATATAATGCGACCAAAATAAATGAGGGTGTACACTAAGAATATTCTGTGCGACAATAGATTTAATGAAGAGGATATTGACAAAAATTGAACTTGTAATCGTACAAATACAAAAATCATGTTCTACACTTGTACCACTCGGTCACCCTTTCCGGAGCTAGAGTGCTGATTTGTACCTGGGTTGGACTTTCATTTGGAAGGTTGTGAGTTCGAGCCTCAGTGAAGGTGTTATTGGTTTTTTGTGTTTCAGTAGGTTGAGAAAGTATATGAACAGATACTATATTGTAATAGAGCCAATAGCATTCAAAAAAATATATGCTAATTGAAGTTACAGTTTATATTGATATGCTTTAGTTATGCACATTATATATGTATTACTTACAATGTTTTATGTTTGTATACTTTATGTACGTACAATATATATGCTTAGGTACCCTTAGGGTTGTGGTTCAACTTTTTTAGAAAGAATGTATATACTTAGGCATCATCATCTTTTTACCATAAACCAATCAATAAAAGGTTAAGTTTCATCCACAACCTCATTAGGGTTAGCACATTGATTGAATTTCCTCATTTCTATATGATGAACCCCTTTATAATTCAACATATGAAAAGTACAAACTAACATTTTGGGTTGACACGAACTGAACTCGTAATGACGTTTTAGGTAAGAGAATTATGTTCCATCTCTTTCAAAACAAGTACAAATTAATCTTAACTTGACTTGCTAATTAAAATAAGTTAACACAACATTAATCTTATAGAAAACTAGATATATAGTAATTAAGCTTGACCATAACACCATATTTAACGGCTGCAAATTTAAAATGTTGCAAAATGTGCAAGTTAATTAATAATATATATTGAGTCGAGTTCAAGTGCGGCGGCGTCTTCCGTGTGGTCAGAGCGGCGGCACCAATAGTTATGCAAATATACACCATCAACGTTAAGAAATGCACTACAAAAACACACACATATTAGGTACGCATCACAAAAAATACACCATTAGGTATGACTAAAAGCACCACGCAGTGTTCGGAAATACACCATTAGTGGTAGGGAGGTATATGATGTATTTTTTTGGGTGTGTTGTGTATTTTTTTAGTGTATTTTGTATTTTATTGTTGTGTGTTTCTCTTACACTATTGGTGCATATTGTTAACACTATTGGTGTATTCTGAAAATCGCCGCACGGGAGCCGTGGCGGTAGGGATGTCAACGGGACGGGGTGGGGGCGGGGGACATATCCCCCGTCCCCGCTCCCGACTTTTTTCTCATTCCCCATCCCCGTCGGGGAAGGGAAAACTCCCCCCATCCCCATCCCCATGGGGATTATTTGGGGACGGGGAATCCCCACCCCATTAATAAGTTATAAAAAAATAAAAATTAAACATTAAAAAATATTTAAATAAATAACGCATATATATTCATCCCAACTTAAAGTAGTATTTAATATTTTACAATTAAACACGTTATTTAAATATGTATTTCCTAAGCATGACATACAATGACAAGAATGCTTCTAAAATTATATATTGTATACAAAGTAATACATATGTGTGTGTTGTGTGGCTATATATATATATACATACATACATATATATATATATATATATATATATATATATATATATATATATATATATATATATATATATATATATATATATATATATATATATATATATATATATATATATATATATATATAGAAAAACGCTCATATGTGGTCATGTCATTAGGTATGGTCGTGTGGTCGTATCTGGGTCGTTGAATCAGTTTAATCTAAAGGCAGTGGTAATTCTGAGAATTTTCGCGCGTTTTAGTAAGTGGGGGTGTTATGGTAATTACAGTGACCATTTATAGCGGGCGGGTTCCAGAATACACCAACAGTGTTGACAACATACACCAATAGTGTAATAAAACACACCACAGTGAAACACACCAATGGTGTATTCCCGTGTTATGGTAATTACAATGGCCATTTATAGCGGTCGGGTTCCAGAATACACCAACAGTGTTGACAACATGCACCAATAGTGTAATAAAACACACAACAATGTGATTTTTCTTATTCCGGTGTTTTATGACAAGTTTACCCTTACAGTTCTCTGGGTAGGAGAATGTGCGCGAAAATACTGGAAAAAATCTTGATTAATATGAATCATTAGATCTATCTAATCTAATGGTCTATAATTGACCATATGACCACACCTAACAACATGGCCACATGTGAGCGCTCCTCTATATATATATATATATATCGGGGACGGGCCGGGGCGGGGAGAGTACTCCCAATCCCCGCCCCCATCCCAGGCGGAGAATTCAAAATTGTCCCCATCCCCATCCCCGATCCCCTATTTTTGTCCCATCCCCGTCCCCGTAGGGCCGGGGAATCAGGTTCCCCGTCGGGTGCGGGTACAATTGATATCCCTACGTGGCGGACCCAGAAAATAATGTGAGTGGGGGCATACTTAACTTTAGATCTCACTCCTAAGAAAAAATTGCATCTTCCACAATTTTGTCTGAAGAATTCGCTACGACTTTAGAATTGTCAATGAAAAAAATATCAAACATCTATAATATGGTTCAAATACATTATAAATTATAATACAATAATATTTATGATAGACGACAAGATAGTTAAGGGCGGAGTCAAAACTATACTTGGGTATGTAGGGTTAAATTTTAAAACACTTTGAAATGCTATAAAATATATGAAACATAAGTGATTAGATAAAATAGTTTGAGTAGAAAAGATAGTATATTCATAAATATTTTAATTTTAATTTTCTTTAAGTTATATCAACTTTTAATTTTTCTAAATTAATTCGAATACAATGAAGTATAATATAAACTTGCGGACTACATTAACTAAATGATTCACAAAAATGTAGACTTAAAAAATATTTAATTTATTGAAGGATTAGAAGGGTTTAAATAAAGAAAAGAAACTAAAAATACTATAGGATTGGAATGGCTAAAATAATTTTTTTAATTAAAAATACAAAAAAAAAAAAAAAAAAAACACTACCAGTAGAAATTGATCCCATGACCTACCATAAACAACCTAAGGTATCTACCAACTAGGCTACTAAAACCTTTTGGTAAATCCTATATTTATATTGTATAAAAGGCTTAAATTAGGGAGGGGTTAGTGGCGGCAGCTGCCCCCACTGCCCCCATTGTAGGTCTGCCATTGCACGGGAGGGTGCCGCCGCATTTGAACTTTTTCATATATATATATATATATATATATATATATATATATATATATATATATATATATATATATATATACATACATACATACATATACGCTTCCTTGTAATAAACAAATTATAAATTTTGTTCATCTCTATAGATTTCAAATACGATGATTAAAATTTACTACTTAAAGGAATTGTAAAATATAATTTGAACTATAACTTGTACTTATTTTCATTTATCAATTTTTAATGTTGTGGATAAATTTTTGCGCATCGCGCATACAAAATGCTAGTGTATATATATATATATATATATATATATATATATATATATATATATATATATATATATATATATATATATATATATATATATATAGAGAGAGAGAGAGAGAGAGAGAGAGAGAGAGAGAGAGAGAGAGAGAGAGAGAGAGAGAGAGTGAGAGAGAGAGAGAGGAGCAAGATAACCTGAGAACTAGTAGCTCCCTGAGAAAATGAGGATTGATCTCATCCCTCTATCTGAAATAGTTAAAAATTAAGAAAAATTATGGTAATATTTTCGTAATTATGATGATGGATTTGGAAATGTTTGATAATGAGTTTGTGGATAACGTACTGACAATGCAATCAAGATCTATATATAATTGTGCACTCACATGTGTACACTATTAGTTATTCGCGGATGCACTATCAAATATTTTAAAATGCACTGTCGTGATTACAAATGTCACCGCATTTTACACAACTTTCCAGCTCTTGATCATTCTAAATAGACAAATAAGATTAGTCTACAAGTTCTTACAGGACATGACTACTATTTCTCATTTGTGTGTGTGTGTATAGAATCCTAATCATATGAGAACCACTCCTCACTTGAGAACTTGTGGACAAATCCAAACCATGCAAGATCTGATGTAAGGGAAATCAAGTAAAAAAATGAGTGGTGTCATTTTCATAAATATTACAAAGTTTTGTTTATTTTCAACTGTTAGATCTACTAGATCAATGGTTTGGATTTGTTGATAAGTTCTCACTTGCGACATGATTTTCACCTGATTATGTATGTATGTATGTATGTATGTGTATATATATATGTGTGTGTGTGTAATTTCAAATCTCAGTAATTAATTTTGTTGGAAAGAATCAAATCTAAAACAATCCACTACTTGCTAAGAACTGAGGACTTATTGTGTGGTTAGGTATTGGAATAGGGCTTTGTAGGGGAAGATTGGTTGTGCACAGGACTTCTAGGTCAAAATGTTCATGTAGCAACAGACAACCTTCACCTACATCCTACTTATTTGGGGTCAAGATGATGTTAGGTTTACTTAACTACATTCTAATAAAGCCGGCCGGCCCCAAATAAGAAAATTAAAGATATAATCAGTAACTTAAATTATTTTAATTTCTTAAACATTGACAAACATTATAATAATAAAATAATCCTTGAACCAATTATATGATTAGTTTCCACAAATATTCTATATAAATCAGACTATATAATAGTTATATGAGGTGAAATTACATTATTAACCTATCCATTTACGAATAATCTTTATTAACTAATCACATGATAACATATGCAACAACACATATTACAATGTTAAGAGAGTAGTGTTACATGTTTATGTCGGTTGATGGATAACAAAAGTTAATATAATAAAGAAATATAATATTGATCTTTCAAGTCAAAATAATAGTTAGCTAGGATCAAAGGCAATTATTCAAACATAAGCATTCCCCACAAAAGATAAAGAGCAATGATTATCATGGACATAATTTTCTAATGACAATTCAAATCAGACTACTAGTCTTACATTGACAACACGAAGAAAAAAAAAATCATTTTCATATCTTGGCGGTTTAGAGAAGAAAAATAACAGTAAAATTTGGCTATATTTTTGTTAGGAAATTATTATAGTTGAAGAGATTATTATTAGTTTGATACACTTATTATTATTATTATTATTATTATTATTATTATTATTATTATTATTATTATTATTATTATTATTTGTTTGATATGATGAAAAATACAATCCAATTACGATTATTTTAATGAATGAAATACTTTGTAAGTTATTAATCAACCTATTATAATCATTAAATCCTAATTGCAATTATAATAGACAATATCAATCTCTAAATAACGAAGGATAAAATATTTAAAATATCAAAATCAAATGCTTATTACTAATAGCGAATTGAAAACACAACTTTATTTTCTTATACTTGTTTAGTATGCAGCCAACGGCCAAACGTCACGTTTTGTTGTCAAGATATTTGACTTGACCTTTCAGGACTCTGCCCAGCACTAGCTACAACCAATTGTCAAGATCAAACATACATTATATATATATATATATATATATATATATATATATATATATATATATATATATATATATATATATATATAGGGAAAGGTTTAGGTGCGGGTATAGCTTCCCGTGCAGTTGTGCGGTTAAATCTGAGCAGTTGATCAAATTTAGATCAACGGCTCAAATCAATGAAAATTATCAAAAAAAAAAAAAAAACGCGTGCCTGGAACAAAGAAGTATAAACTAAGGTGCACCTTAAGTGTTAGATCTTAATCACAAACTCACGCACTTTAAGTACAAAATCAACACACATTAAGCACAAAACCCACGCGCTTTAAATATTAACTCGCGCTCACAGACTTTAAGTTTCAACAACTACTGACATTAAGTACAAAATTCACGCACATTAAATACAAAACCCACGCACATTAAGCACAAACATCACGCACATTAAGCACAAAACTCACGCACTTTAAGTATTCACTCACAGACTTTAAGTTTTAACAACTATTCACGTTAAGCACATCCCCACGCACATTAAGCACAAACCTCACGTATATTAAGAACAAAACACACGCACATTAAGCACAAAACTCACGCACATTAATCACAGATCCACTCACCTTAATTTTGACCTAGATGCAAAAATTACAAAATTGCCACCGCGTTTTTTTTAAAAACTTTGATAATCCTGGACGTTGATTAAAGCGAGACGAATGGCTCAGATTAAACCGCACAACCGCACCTGAAGCCCTCACCCGCACGAGAACCTAAATATATATATATATATATATATATCATTACGACAAAAAGTATAACTAGTAGTGAATGTGTAACGCCTTTATTTCTTTATAGTTGCGTAACAACCCATATAATGGTTTGATAGTAGGATGCTGGATTTTGCCCTTTAGGCATCCATCCAACACATATACCAATTGATTTAATTTGCCCAAGATTGGTACCAATAACTTTGCCCAACACTAATACCAATTATCAAAATCAAATATTTATCACTATGCCAAAAGTTATAGCTAGTAACAAATACACAATTTTATAATTTATATTTGCATAACAGTCAATGTCACATTCCATTGCCAAAATATCGGACTACGTCCCCAACTCCCCATGCTTTCGCCCAACATAAAACATAACAAACTCTCTGACCTAATGTTAGAGGCTACATATATCATAATTAGTATCATATATTCATATCATATATATTCATTAATAATAAAAGTGCATTTATTAATTACATTATTATTATAACATGCATCTTACAACAGTAACATGACTATTAATTATGAATATAATGTTTGTTACATATAAAACAATATTTCACTTATCATTATAATAATATCCATATATAACATCTTATGAAATACAATTCATTAACATTATATATATTCATCAAATTCTACTATGAACGTTATGTCTGTTAATACTCATGTTTTATAGTATGTTCTAGAATTTGGTTTTAGATGCTGATGATTACATATATATACACACCCAAATAGATACATCCATTATATTTTTATGAGAAGGAAATTAAAAGAAGAAATATAAATATAAATATATATAATGGATGGATGACATAATAATAAATACTCCTTAAAATTTTATGCACAGATAGAGACATTTCTTTATAGAGAATTTGTCTGCCATTACTGGGGATTAATGATGCTGCTTGACTAGAAGAAGGAATGAAATTCATCAACAACCCAACATTGAGAGAGAATCCACAAATATAATTTCGATCAGATAAAGCAGATAAGAGTTGTCAAGATTTCAGTGAGAATTAATCATCAGATTTAATTATTATTATTAAATATAATAATAAAAATGAAATAGATTGATTGCAGTAAATTAAAGAAAAGTAAAGAAGTAATTACCTGATCTGATATGACCACCACAAGGGAAGACTGAATTGAATGAGGCGAAGCCAATTAAGCTTCATCAATTCCACAATTTATTTTATTTTTGAAGAATTTATTTTGGATATTGTTGGTGAGTGATTGAAGCTGCTAGATGACCTGATGGAACCAAATCTCAGAAAACCTAATGAAATTCACTATGATTTAATTCCCTCTCCAATCTTCTTCTCCCAAAAGATTGAATCCCCAACTCTAAGAGCCCTCACAAAATCCCGATTACTCAATGGCTCAGTAGATCAGATAAGGCTAAATACCGGTGCGCACAAGAGATCTGTCTACTTTAGGCATAATTCACTCTCCAATCTTTAAACTATGTACAGAACCCATACCAACCAACCAAAAAAAAGAATTGAAACAGAAGGGGGGAGAATGAAGAACAGAAAAAAACCCCAAAGATGTGTTCTTTTGGTACAGTGAATTCTATTTCTGCAGAAAGATGAAAACCCCATAAAAGAAAAAGTGGGAAAAAGAAAACCCAAGATTTTGTTCTATCTTACCAGATCATGCTGGCAGCTTCAGCCTCTCAAAACCAACAAACAGTACAGTACACATCTGAGAATTGAAATAAAGTTTTGCAGGTAGAGAAAGGCATGAATAAATTGAAGGAGCTGAGGGTTTATTTAGGGATGGAATTGAAGGAGAAGAACAGACCAGCTAGGCCAGCCATGCATGGTTTGGTCGGACGGAGAATGATGGAATTTATAAGGCTCGTGACTCTTAATTTCCACATCATCAGTACCAGTATGTATTCATAAATGCACCCTCACCTCACCTCTCTTCTCCATCTCCATGGCATCAACATCAATAATTTATAGAGGGAATTGGAAGTTGGATAGATGGGTTTCCAATCCGCCCGCCCTTTTCTTACAGCTATTATAGTCACACTCACTTTTTTAATTAACAATCTATTTCATTATTCCAACCCCTACTAATACCAATTTTTTATTATATTATATTGTTTGAGATGCTTGATCAATAAAAAAAAAAAGTCTATTTATTACTTTGTAAAATATAAATTTAAGAAAAGTCTAAGGTGGGTACAGTGGGGACAAAGTGTCTTTGTTCCCACAATACCAATGTAACTCAAAAGATATATATTTTTAGTAGTCATTGGAAATCAACACCACATCAATTGACACATTATCCCAAAAAAATATGTATGGATTGAAATTGAAATAAAAATAATTATGTATTTTTCGATTAGAAGAAGAGGGAGGACCCGAAGGGAAGACAAAGGATTAGGGACCAGTGATCGAGACTATACCCTTCTATTGCAATAGCCGCCGATTTTATCCTCCTAAATAATGTCTTGGATTGTGTCTAAGGGGACCTTAATAATCTTCAAACCATGCGCATGCAGAAGGGAAGAATTGATCGATCACTAATGATTTGACAAAATTTAAATTATATTGGATCAATTAATTATTCATACTAGTAAGGTTTTGTTGATTGAGTTTATTTAAGATCTTATAATTTATTTTAAGTTACAAATAAACGCTCGTATATTACATTGTAGTGTATGTAGTAATAACTTAAAAAGAAGAGTTCATTAGTTAGTTTTTTTTTTTTTTTTTTTTTTTTTTTTTTTTTTTTTTTTTTTGGGTTACATGCTTTTATGAATCTGTATTTATTTTTTAAAATTTAAGGGTGCCTTAATCCCATAAAATTGACACATACGTGTTAAATCCGTTCGCTATATATTATGATGTTTAAAGATGAATGTATAAGCAAGAATTGATTAGTACAGGAACATGTATACCAATGATTTTTTTAAAAAAAAATATATGGATATAAAAACTTTATAATAGTATTAATATGTGTCTTATAAAAAAGAGAAAAAAAGAAAAGTGAGAAAGAGGGACCACAATATAGCAATAGCTTAATATTTTGCTGTATTGTTGGGCTATAGTAATTACAAGCAAGGTTGGTGACTTAATGTGGTTGGTCCACATGAAATGAACATATATAAAGTGGCTTGACTTGGTCGAATGTGGCAGATCTGAGTGAATTTTTGGCTTTGGACCACCATTTATATGTAATGTATTGCAGACATTTCAATTTAGTCCTATGCAATTTGGCAACAAATTTGACCTTACATTCTTTATTTCCAACTGTTCATTCGCATCACCCATTTTAAGAATTCAAAGGAATACTACAAATTATTATACGGTCGACCATAATTTATATTGTAAGGTAAGTCACTAATACATGTTCTTAGTATATTGTATGTACATTTTTAATGTAATACAAGTTCAATTTTAATATACTGTATGTTCATTTTGAGTGTGTTAATTATAAGTTGGTTTTTAAGTACTATAAGTTAATAGTTTTACTTTTTGTACCCCGAAACATATTTAATTCTAAGTTTTGATAAATATTCCAACAAAATTAAATGTGAGTTTTGATGGTCTAAAAGGCAAATTTATTAAAAATTAATTAGATACCTCATTACCACAAAAGGGTTTTTACGTTTTCTTTTTTTCTTTTTTTCTTTTTTTTTTTTAAACAAAAGAAAAAGAAGCCTTTTACGTTAGTTTTTATGCGTAGTGTATGCTGGCATATTAGTTTAGAAATGAAACTATCGAATATTGGAGGTGTTTGGTAAATAGTTGTTAGCTGATTGGGTTAGTGAGTTTGACTAGTTGATAACATTAGATTGTAGAAAGATGTTTGATAATTTAGTTGTTAGCTGATAGTTGATTACATGCAAAATGACTTTTTCAAAAAAAAAAAATGATTGAAAAAGCTGCTTTGATTAGTACGTCGTAAACAAATAATGAGTAAATGTGATATTTAACCTTAAAACTTTATTTAAAAAAAAAAATCTTAATGTCAGAACATGATCTTAGCCATAAATTCAAATTTAAAATAGATGTATAGATTTGACTTTGTAATGGGCACTAGTATATACAATGCCACCTAAGCATTTGGGGGAGCTATAGGCTAATTAAAACACATTTCATGATTTATATCCTTCACCGTACCAGTTCTCAATATAGAAACGGTCAAGTTTGAAGTTAAAACTAATAAATTTCAAAACAATTCAAGTGAAGTCACATGATATTATATAGTATATGTTACTTTTCATAGGGTTTATTACTTTATTATTATTATTATATATATATACTCATGAATATAATGCAGAAGGAAGTGAATGATAAGTGTTGTGAGAGCTAAAAGGTGGGGGTGAGAGATGGAAGTAGGTAGTAGCTAGTATAGGTTAAGATAGAGAATTGATTGAGTAGTAAAGAAGGAATATAATAGAAAGTTAAGGAGGGCGTGATTGGGTAGGGGCACATGGGCAATGTTGTTGGTGAAGACAAACAAAAGTTGCAGCTAGCTCCAACATGCATACTGCCATCCATATTCTTAATGGTAGTTTTCAGCAACTTGGCAATTTTAAGAAGACAATGAAAATGGCTTTTGCTTTCATTCGCATGCTTCCCTTTCTTTTTGTAGTGGACCCTAACCTATTAGCTAATTAATTTACTCCATAATCCTCCCTCCCATACACATCTTTACTTAATTGGTGAGATGATATACATATACATATATATATATATATATATATATATATATATATATATATATATATATATATATATATATGTATGTATATCTTGTATGTTGGGAAAACGTTATTAGTTGTCGTGTGGACTCGTAACGTGAATGAAGTTGGTCGTTACGTAAAATTTAAAGAAATGAAGTTGTGTTTTCGTTCATTGTCATATATACCTTTTGAAGTAGTATGGTAGTTAACACTCATATGACAATTGGTATCAAATCGGGCAGCTAGACATGTTACGTAGTTGAAGGCTAGCTAGCTGATAAGTATTGGAAGGCTCAAATAAGCTAGTTGCTACATAAGTATAAAGAAATAAATTACACTTTTGCGGCTTTGATCTAACAGATCCAATTAACGCATGCATTCTTAACATAACAAGTTTATACTACTCGACCACAATTTTTGACAAGAGTATTATTATTTATGCACACCAACAATATGTAGATGGAATCAAGATATAACTTAAAACTTTATTAATTATTTACTAGGTAATAACTACAAATTAAGTTGTAAGTGAACAATTTTAGCTCAGGGAACGTGCACGGATAGCTCAGTTAGTACATACTCGAGTGATAGATTGCGAGTGAGTATTCAAAATCGAGACCTGGCAATTGCAGTGTGAGAGTTTCACTCAATGTGATGAGTTTTTTTAAAGTACCAGACACTGGTCGTCCTCACACTTAAAAAGTCGCTAAATTATCGTAATTTACCTTTCTACAATCCAACTCAAAGATGATGTGCGCACACACACACAATATATATATATATATATATATATATATATATATATATATATATATATATATATATAAATGTAATGGGGATGTATATATGTATGTATGTATATAAAGGACAGGTTGGTGGAATCATATGATCGAGAGCATACTTTTGTCTTTAGCTTTGGGCGGTTCTTGTGTCTTTGCTTGACAAACAGTGACATGTAGACAAGCCCTAATGGAGGGACGGACCACAAAAAAAAGAAAATTGAAAATTAATTTTCGATTTTCTTCTATTCTGTCTTAATATATTGCTGGATCAATCGATAGTGTCACATGGGTTTGCCTTGTAATTTAGGTCTATCACTCCAATAATCTTCAACTGATCAAGGTTGGTGAGGTAGTTGTCGTGATTAAGTGATTAACGTTGCCCACAATTTTTTTTTTAAAAATAATTTTACATTTGAAATTTATGATTAATTCTTTAAATTTATTTTCTATGTCCTATGTTTTTTAAGGTCCCACTGGTTTAATTCTCAAAATGTGGATTAAATTCATTGTGATAATTTCATGAACACTCCATTCATCATTACTGAATTATATTATATCCACAAATAATTTTTTTTTAAAGAATTTTCTTTAAATTTAGTGGATATAATCGAGATTGGGGTTGATGAGAATTAATGGTTAGCTTTAAATATATTCAATCAATCTTAGACTAAACTAAATTGGATCTATATAGTATGTTACAAGTGTATATAAAAAAAAATTATCCTCCAGAATTGGATCTATACACAAAAAAGCTACCAAATTAAATCGAATTCTATCCTGAAAGTGGCAAACAACATTCATTGGTATGTGGTCCAACATAATT